TTACTCAGAAGAGATAGCCACCAGCACAAGTGGAAAGCCTATCCTCTTGTCATCAATTCACTCCCTTGTGGGCGAGCAATTAATTTCTGTTAAAGGTGAAGCAGCCAATATGTCAGGTGTAAAAACAGTCTCAACACAATTTTCAGGAAAAATAAATAAACAAGAAGTAATGATTAGGGATCACACTGCTTCTGTAAAAGTTGTGCTTTGGGGAAAGTATGTCAACACACTTCAACCAAAGAAAACATATATGTTTAAAAATCTTCGCTTAAAAGTCACAAAGTATGAAACTTATCTCAATACTCCACGTAACGAGCTATTTTCAGCCACAGAATGTGAAGGCTTTTCAGTCCCACTGGTCGAATTGGAAGAAGATGTCAACACAACGTCAACTATCACAGGTTCCATTCTTGGAGTCCAGAATGCTTCAAAGTCTTTTGCATGTATTGGATGTAACAAAAGATCAGTTCACATTGATGGGAAAAAAGCTGTTTGCCAATCTTGCAATCTAGTGCAATTTGCAGCCAACTGCAAAAGCTTCTGGTATGCCAAAGTACTAGTCAAACCAAGTGGATCAACGAAAAATCTCCGCCTCATTCTAGCCAATGAAGTCCTTCAGAAATTCCTCACAGTCATTTCATCTGACCTGCTACTCGACAGGGCATCTGAAGAAGAGTTAGTGTTGTCAATATTGGATCACTGTCTAAAAGAATTTGACATCACTTATGACAACATCGGCAATGGAATTACTGACATTTCTCTGAAAACTGTCTAAACAATGTTAAACAATATTCATCTATATTATGTGTTAATTTGCATGTCCCCTGAGAGACAAAGACAGAAATTATGGCCAGAAACCAAACTATGGCCAGGACAACAGATATATATTCAATACTGTTATGTTCAATAATTCTGTTTATGAAGCAAATATGGACTTCAACCTATTTATATTAACATTGTTATTTACCTTGTAGTAATATCATGATCAGCTCGGGTTCTATTGTTTAGAGCGGGCCTTTATTTAATAACTCCTAATTCGCCCTTATAATTCGCCCGCTTCTGTAAGCATGAGCAAGCATGCAAGCAATGAGATGCACACATATGAATTTTTAACAATACATAAAATTATACGATACGTCACCCTCGCTGATCATGATATTACAAACTAATATCATGACATCAGAGAAATTAGTGATTAAATGCCCCCTCAGGCTCGGGAGGTTTGTGTAATTCCCTCGGGAATCACACAAACCTCCCTCGCCTTCGGGGCATTTAATCACTAATTTCCCTCATGTCATGCTATTACTTATAATAAACATTACATGTACAAGCATGTTTGTATCTTTGTTTTTTTGATATTTTATTATAAAAGTATTCCGATTTTTCTATCTTTGATTCTTTGTCAATATTTTGAAGAACAGTAGTCCCCCGCTAACTCGAACTCACTTAACTCGAACTCCTCGCTATAAACTCGAACTAAATCCAATTCCCCTTGAATTTGACACTCAACTCGAACTCGCCTAACTCGAACTCCTCGCTAATTCGAACAAATTTTGTTTCCCCTTGGTCAAATATATCCGGTTAACTCGAACTTTGGTTTCGAATCATAGATCAGCAAACTTTAAAATGTGAGAAGATAGAAATTTGACAACTGGAAACTATCAAAATAACAACAAGTTAATCAGTGTATAATTGTATGTACATGCTTATAAATTTTAAAAGATTTTGTGGAGTGCCGCGGTCGTTATTGATCTAGCTTTTTTAGTTCCTTTTGTATTCTTTCGATCTTTTTAATTTTAAAATGTCGTCGACTCTCGGTGACCATTCATATTGGGAGGCCTGATATCCCTTGAAGAATGATTCGATTGGATTTTATATCTTATCCATTGTATTAGTCGTATTACTTAATATAATAAATGTAATCTGACACCAACTCCGGTTGTAAATTAACTCGAACCCCCGGTAACTCGAACAATTTTTCTTTTACTTCATGTATGCAGACTTTAACGTCCCAAAAGATAAACTTACTTTTATTACATTGCGACTGGTAACGTTGTTTAAAGGTGGGTTAGCGCAAACCTGGATTAAAATTTAACCTGCTGTTTTAGTTTGTGTATTTCTGCACGTCTGTTTATTTCATAACTTCAGAGAAGTAAATTCCTATCGATCCAGACAAGATCTCTGAAGAAATATTTCCAAATTTATAGACACGCTGTCAGGAAGTTTGCTTTGTATTTTAGGTTATATCCTAGGCTTAACTGTGGCTTAACCAGCTTTATGAACAACCGAAACTTGGTGACCTCATGTTAGACCCCGAGAGAGAAGTCACCGCATTCTGCAAGGCAGCACTTCACTTGCGATAGTAACTTCTAGTATATAAATTATGGCAATACACGTTATCGGAAACTAGGAATGTTCGCTCCGTTGTTGCATAGCAACACGCTAATGGAGGTAAACAATTCAAAATGGCCGCGCGTAGTAATAATATTTCAACCACTATATCAATTAAATTACATGAAATTTAAGTCATCGAGGGCGGGAATGTATATGATATGTATATTTAAGTATTTTATAAAATATCTTTTTAAACCAACAAAAATGGCAAAAAACAGCGATGATGGAAGCCGGGATGCAGATGTTGCAATTATGAAACTTGATATGACTCTAAGTGATTTCAAATTGATGAAAATTGAAGCACTGAGAGATTTCCTTTCATTACGTAAAAAGTCAACCGATGGTGATTTTGAGACACTAGTATCGAGGTGCGTTTTATTTTATACCTTTTATAAACTTTGATGCGTTTAGGCTACTCCCTAAATTTGAATTTTTCAGGCTTCCTCACAAAATACATTATTAATATTTTAGGGCCTTTGCGGCGTGGGAGGAAAATGTATAACTGCTGAACAGCAACTAATATCTACCAAGAAAGAATACAAAATGAAACTCATAATCGGAAAAACCATTTTGCCAGATCCTTTAACACTTAAGAAAAAAGAGTGGATTGGAGAAGAGAATGGTGGTCTTCAGGAATGGCCTCCTATTTATTATCACAATATTGCAAACTATCTATATGGAATAAACGCACCAGATGATTTATTGCATCGTTTAAACAATGACTATAAAGAAGGGAAAAGTTACAGGTATTTCGCATGTGACTTTGTCAAGGAGATTTTCTAACACCCTGTGATTGTAGAGAGCAAAATATGTTTTTTAAAATGTAAAGTCACACCCTCACAAAGAACATCTTCAACTCCCTATAATGTTTGGGTTGCAGCTGAAAAGAAGGGACCCGGAGGAAAAATTGTAAGTGGTTATTGTACATGTACTGCCGGCCTTCTTGGAAGTTGTAACCATGTTACAGCAATGCTCTTCCGGATAGAGGCTGCTGTTTCAAGTGGCGTAACAAAACCTACTTGTACCAGCAAGTTATCAACATGGAATGTGCCTGCTGCAACAAAGTCACTTCTTTCTATAAAGCCAATTGGTGAACTCACTGTTGTGAAAGCAAGTTACAGAAAAAGAAAAGGAACATCAGAAAATGAACCCAACTGCACTGCTTACAAAAATTTTTCACCTTATGAAACGAAAGAGGTTGAAAATCCAGAATCAATGCGGAAAAAAATATACAGTCTTGTAAAAGACCACATCCCTGAATCTCGCTTTGTAGAAATCATGGAAATTAAGAAAAAGAGAACATCTAGTGTGCAAAGTATTGATACTAATAACCTCCTGTCACACTCAGTTATGAAAAAATCAGATGCATATGTGTATGATGAAAACAGCTCCTTGGAAAACAATGTCAGCAAGTTTACATTGACTTTGGAAATATCAGAGGATGTGGTAAATAGCATATACAATAACACCAAGGATCAGGCAAATTCTCCAGCTTTTTGATTTGTTTTTTGAGGCTAGGCTTCTGGCAACTTTCTGGGATTCATCCAAAGTGTTGCTTAAAGCTTCTTTCTCTAAAGTCAAAGCCTCTACTTTTTTCTGCAGCTCACTTATCTGTGATGATACACTCTCATCCACTAATTCAGACATGCCATGTTCTCTATGTTAATTAGTTACTAACATCTTGTTCATCAGTTGATTCAGGAGGAAGTACCTGTGATAAGTCTGATGGCACCTCCTCTACATAATCCAGCCGTCTACGTTTCTTCTTCGGTGATGGAAAAAGTTTGAACATTTTTTCTCTTGCATCATATCCCAAATTTTTGGTTGGATAGGAACAGCCTTCTTCAAAATGCTCTGAGCACACCCTGGACTTTGAACCTGGGCTCCATAATTTATTGGTTTTGCTTTGACGATTGATAAGAACACGCCATTTCTTTCTATCCTCAGGGTTTTTCTTTTTCCCAGGAAATGTGAACAGCCTACAATAAAATAATTTATGTTGAATAAGTTAATTGCCATTTTTATCTAATTCACTCGCTGAATAAAAATTAGGTAAACATTAAACTACTCACTTGAATGGTTCAGTAGTACAAGAGCAAGATTCATGTTTCAACCCTTCGTGCGTTTCGCACAATTTCTGCTTCCATTTCAGCAATTGATAAGCTCCATTGGAGCATCCAAGTACAGCACAATGTGTAGACATCAATTTTTTTACAAAAAAAAACTTTGTAAGTGATAAAATAACTTTTTTAAAACGTTGTCTACATTTCCCAACGTGCAGCTACGTTTTGTCCACTCTTTGTTTACCTCCCAAACACGAATTAACATGCGCGCGCATATTTTACTTATACTTTCCGATAACGTGTATTACCCTTCTATACCACCGGACGACGTTGCAGCCCTGAATATAAACCAAACACGGCAAAAGCACGAATGCAGTAAAAATATAAGTGAGCCATGGATATTGAAGTGAAAAAGCCAAGATATTTCGTCGGAACATGATAATTCGAGGTCTCTATGAATGACCAGCTTTAAATCGTAGCATGTTGTGTCCTCAAGGAGCATATCATGTGGAATGCATGCTTGTCTTTTCTCTTTGTTTATAGATGAGAAATTTTAGTCGCACAATAAACAACGTATCATCACACTGAAAATGGTAAAGCAACAACAACATCAACGAGGAAAATGCAACAATGGATGCCCCCAACTTGTTGGAAACGCTGGCAAAATTTCCAAGGTTGGTCGACTTCACCCAATTAAAACGATCAAAAAGTATCGAGAATTTCTTGAAGCTGCAGAACACGAAAGAAATTTAAAGGTATATATAATTATATATGAACAAATAATAGTCTAAAAATAAGCTGCCAGGATAATTTTTTTGGGGGGGGTTGAATATTCATATCAGTTCTGCCCTACGGATTTCTTTTGTTATTGCAATTGTTTCTACTTTACTTACATTGATCTTGGCTGGTCATCCTTGCTGAGTTTGAATCTACGATAAGATCACAGTTTGAATAAGGAATTTAATGAAGCTTTTTGTTTGTGAATTCTGTCATTGAATAGATTCAGCGAACGAAGAATAAAACGATTGAAAGTTGCGTGTAATTGAATTCGTTGTTTCATCAATATATTGAGGTACGTTTAGAACTAAATATCCCCCATTCCTGCACTTGGAGGAAATACGCCATTTATAACGTTCCTGTTGAAACAAAAGAAACCAAGGCGACCATGTTATTACAATTTGAATTTAGACACAAGAAATTACCTGCACTAAAGCTGTTAATGTTGAAGAAAAGCTCTTGTTGTTAATTTTAATTTTTATAAACTTTACGGTTTTCTAGCTCTAAAATCGTAGGCCAAACAATGTTTTAGGGGAGGCTAAATTCACGAAGAGGGACCAAATTTCCTAGGAATTATGAACCAGGGCCAGCAAATGTCAAGGAGAATGTTATGCTTCAATGAAACGAAGAATTTGAAGAATTTTCGCTTCAGGAATATCGACACTTGCCTCCGTGGATAGCGTGTAGTCCTCGACATGCAAGTCGCAAAGTTCACGCCAATTCAGTTCAGTTTATATCATACATTGCATCAATTAACAAATTAGAAAATAATAATAGTTTGACCTTGACTGAATGTTCACCCGTGATATAACGTCTGATACGTTTCGTATTTCGTATCCCGAGTGGTTGAGATAGTTAAATATATAGAATCTGCACTATAACGTGCTGATATAACACACTAACTAGTTTCGTGCAGATGCACGTTTGTACAGTAGGGGGGGGGGGGTCAAGAGTCTGGAGCCAGTCAATATGATATCGTATTGATATAACGACATCAATGTGCATACAACCACGATTCACGATATAGGATTTGACAAAAATTGGCGCTGTTCTAATATTTTGTATGACCGGCCTCTTCCACGGTTCAAAACAGCTTTGACATTTTCTGCATGGCATAGAGTGAACCAGTTTTGTTAGGACTACGGGTTCATTTCTATACTCCAAAATTGATTAAGGCATGCTATGGCTAGTGACTGAAAACAATGTTGACAAGCTTCAAATTTTTTTTCGAGCTTAGGTTAATTGAACGACATCGCAATAAAATTTAATTCAATTCATTCCGCAGTCTGCCTGTCCACGTCTGTCCACGTCTGTTTTATTATATTGCCCTTGACGTATATTACTGGTAATAAATCAAATCGGATATACAGTATATAGGTAGTCCAAATGAGGTAGGATAATAATCATAGGTCTAAAATGTCGCTACGCGGATACGACATAAAAACAACTGCTTGTGTTGAGAACCCATGCATTCAGTTCTAATTCCTCGGCTATATATAGCAAGAGTCTCTTCCACGCAGCCAATCTTAATTTTGGCCAACCGAAATAAATCGTGATAGCATGCACGTGACATATTTGTGGCCATCTTATTGGCGTTCAGCGACTAATTCAACTTCCTGTTTCTTCGCGCTATCTTCATCGCCCCATCGACTTCCGGCTTTTTGTGCTTAACATCATGATCAGGTTCGGGTGAAGAATGTTTTATGACATACGACGTTAAACAAGTGTACTAAAAGTGCGTTTTATTATGCGTACGGCATATACCCAAATATTTGTGAATGTACGCTTTCTAAGCGTACTTGATCGAAGCTAAGCGACACTGCACGCAACAGTGTACTTGATTAAAAGTAAACGAAAGTACGCATATTCTGTGCATGTACTCGATCTAGTTCATATATTTCAAAATTTAAAATAATATGGCTAAAATGGGTATGAGCAATGTACGATTCACATGCAGACTTCCAATTCCCCTCTTGAAGATAACCTGCGCAGTTTTTGCAGTGCCTGCTTTTATTTATAAATTTAGAGTAAACGTTTAGCAAGCGTCTTGCTTGTTTTTACTAAAGGAGTCGATAATTTTTATTCCTGTTGTGCCGGAAACTGTGGAATATACGGCGGATCTTAAACTATTCATGCAGGATGGGAACACGCGACGATGGCGGGCATCTATACTATGGGTACTAACCCATGTCAATTTAAGATGTCGTCCACGTTCTGATTCAAAACGGCAAATCTTAGGTTTTCACGTCTTGTGCAAAACGTCTGTATTTCAAGACTCAGCATAGCTGCGTCAGCAAGTGCTTCCTCAAGTTGGACTACATAGAAGCTGAGTGACTCCCACGAGCCTGTCCTGAAATGCAAACTTTTGTCATGAAAAACCTTCGGATGTAATGAAGAAATTATGCATAGAGAAGACCTGAAATACTTCCATTTTTGATAGTGTATATTATAACCAGGGCCGGATTAACCTTTCGCGGGGCCCGTGGCATTTTTTCAGCGCGGGGCCCCTCAACCCCGTGAAGCATCAAAGCCTTTACTCACCGGCCACAGAATTTTTGGGGCTCGGGTAAAAGGGGAGTAAAATCCGCAAAAAAATAGCAATTTGTGCTACTGTAGCGCGATAATGCATGACCAGAACATTGAGAGGTGTAAGAAAATTTAATTTTGGGGGCCATAGCCGTATTTGGGGGGTTTGGGGGCATCCTCCCCCAAGAAAATTTTGAGTTTTAGTGTGCAGCAAATGCGATTTCCTGCGTTTTGGGGGTGAGATTTCTGCAAAATCGAGTATAATATTGCATTACCTAAACTATAAATAACCTAAGAGGTTTTCTGAAAGAGGCCACTATATATTTCCAACAACATGCAGTTTAATTTTATTCTTGCAGGTTTTTGGGGACCCTTACAACCCCGGGCTCGGGGCAAATTTCCCCTTTGACCACCCCTCTGGGCAGCCCTGCCTTTACTTGAAGTTTTCAATTTCTAAATTTTCCCATTACCCTAAAATTTTCTTGGGAGAATCTGGTCCAGGGGTGCCTTATTGGGCCTCGACTTTTGATTTCTAAGGCTTCGCGTTATTTATTTTGCTCCGATAGCTTAATTAATATGAGCTTTAAAGGCATTTTTATTTATTTATGGGGCCTCGCTTTTTGGAGTCACTTTATTTTATTTTGTTGCTATGCGGCTTTGTGGCCCTTTTTCCGTCTCCCACGCACCGAAAAAAAATTTGAACTGAGTAAAGCGCGGGGCCCCCAAAACCGCGGGGCCCGTGGCATATGCCGCTTCTGCCATATGGTTAATCCGGCCCTGATTATAACCAGAGTAAGTTCAGTTCAAAATCCTTCAGTTGAAAGTTCATTTAGAGACTTATATCTGGCAATCCGTCTGGTATCGTATTTATTATAGAAGAGATCTGTAAAAAATTTCGCGAAACATAATCACGATGCGGCGATGTGATGAGGGATCTCAAGGTAAATGTCAAAAATTTGTCTAATGTTTCATTCAACTTATTTACCAGGGTTTTAATGTCAGCATATTCCTAAGAGCCTGTGGGTATCACGTTATACCCGTGAATTACGTTTTAATTAAGTTCAGAATTTTAACACCCTTACCAATAATCGCAACAAATATAATATTTTGACTCTCAAGATGTCTTGTTTATTCGGAATTTGGGATATATAAACGTCGTGTTTTTTTGTGCAATATCATAAAGAAATAGGCAGAATTTGATATATGGATATTCAACCCCCCCCCACCCAATTATCGCTCTAGTTACGCCCCTGATTCTGTGTACTAGATCGAAGCTAAACGACATTGCACCGCGTATATTCTGTGTACTCAATCAGAACTTAACGATTGAAAGCATAAAGGCTAAAGAGATACCCGAGGTTGTGTTTACCATGCAGATAATACAAAAAACGCAATGTGAACTCGTTCAATCACGGGTTATGGAAGTATATATATATATATATATATATAATTATATATATATATATATATAATTATATATATATATATATATATTTTACTGGATAAAATTTCTCAATATTGCGGTAAAACACGCGCCGTTAAACAAAGACGTGCAAAAGGGGAAATCAACTTATGTAAACCCTGGCTGACAGGCAAAATTAAACAACTAAGTTATCGTAGAGATTACTTGAAACGACAAGCTATTAGCTTAAAATCAGCATTATATGATACAGCTAATAGAAAATGTCATTAACATTGTTATTGACAATGAATTTATTGCATGGTATGCCCAGACAAGTTTTCTTCGCTTTACAATCACAAGGTTTCAGATGTGTTTGCGTAACACTAGCAGTGTGACCGAAGACCGTGTAGTCCTCGACAAGTCTCAAAGCTGACGCAAATTCGGTTTAGTTTATATTGCATATTGCATCAATTAGCAAAATAGAAAATGATAATAGTTTGAATAAAACCGCGTGATATAACGTCACTAAAAACGTTCGTACTTAAATTTCTAATCTAGATTTAACTGTTCGTCTCACCAACTCTCTACAACAGGCTGTAAAACTAGTTTCGTGCGGAACCCCTAAGATACCCAAAATTTTCCTTCCCACTTTTGTGCAGTGCGTGTCATTTGCGTATCCCATTTTGTGCAGTGCGTGCCGGCAGGTAATGACATGTACTGCACAGAAATGCATGGGAAGTAAATGAATTCCAGCACGATCTCAAATTCGTTCGCCCCGTGTTAACATAAACTAAAAGTATAATTTTTTACAATATGTTGTACTTTAATATTTATCCTCTTAAGAAAGATTTCCTCCCAGCAAGTCCCTCTAGCAAATAAGTTTTTTTGTGCAAAATTAATTAAAACATATAGTTAATCTGGTTGAGAAGTCTTATTTTCTAGTGTGTGCACGCGTATATCAAACGTTCAAGCACATGGGAATAACGATGTTTTCCACTAGTGATTATTTTAAGATGAAATGACCTTGTTGTTTTTAGTTTAATATCCAAAGATGAAAGATCGAAGAAAAAAAAAGACGAAAGATCAAAGAGATCAACAATCATCCTGTGACGCATTGCTATACGTGATTATATTTCGGGAATGCGCGTGCTTCACTCACCACAGACTGAACGCACTGGACACACGTCCGTCAACGCAATCTTAATAGAAGGCTACCACGTCTATATATATTCCCTCTAATCTTACAAATACGCCAGTCCCCAGTAACCATACTCTCACGCTTGGAGAAGACACGTCAGGTATGTAGAGATCGAAACGGGTCTAGTAAAGAAGCTCATATTTGGAAAATATTATAATAAAAAATCTCTTCAGAGTTAATTTTTGCTTAGGGCCATGTTACACGGTGTAAATAACTTGCAATGCAATTCTACTTTTAAGAGATGTTCTCGAAATGTAAGTATACAAAACGCCATGCATGGAGTGTAATAAAAACAAAAATTCGGTGATAGCCAAATTTACATCTCTCAAAAGAAGAATTGCACGGTGTGACAGGGAATTGGAAGTTGCAAGAAAAATTGCACGGTGTGACAGGGCCCTTAGTTGGTATTCTTGTTTTAATGCATTAAATTATTACAAGTAAAATAGAAGAATTGATCCTTTGTGTATATATGACCTTGTTTTATAGAATTTTATGAAATGATGAGCAATCTCTTAGTTCAAGGAATAGTCCTGCTCGGCTTCTTGAGTCTCTCGGCTGCCTTGTTTTGTACAGGTTGGTAACTTAGGGTCTGATTACATGGAGTGTTAGGGCTGAAACTTCAGCTCGGGGTTGTTATAAAATCCTAACAAAATCGCGCACGCGATTACATGACAAGAATTTCAGCCCGGTTTGAGTTATCCGGGCTGAGACTTTGTGTTGTTGTCATGTAATCGTAAATAAACCTAAACTCGGACAGAAAAATTCGCCTTGACAATGCTTTTTCGTTTGTTTATTTCATTTTTATGTGCAGTCATAGTCCCTTAAGGTCAAGATATTGTCATTCAAGATTTTAAAGCCCTCGAAGAATCGAAATAGGTCTACTATACCAACCTTTACAAACTCAGCCCGGGCTGAAATTTCAGCCCTGGCCTTAAAATAATTCTGACGTGTCATAACACAGCCCGGGCTGAAACTTGCCATGTAATCGAAAAATATTTTGGCCCCGGTTTGCCGGGCTGAAACTCAGCCCGAGCTGAAAAGACACCATGCATGTAATTAGCCCCTTAAGCTTTTTAAATCGTGATATAAGATTTTCGGTGTCACCTTTTCTAAATTGTCCAATTTCAGATGCTGAATATGCAGTTACAGTAAAGACAGTTCCGAAGACACTCTCATATCGACAGGCAATTTTAAACTGTAAATCGGATGGAAAACTGCTTTGTAATTCTCAAACAATATGCAAAAATGGAGTTCCTTACACTGGAGTAATTCCTGGTGACCACTGGGTGCCCGTGAGTGACAGTGTAAACGAATGGGCGCAGATTGGTAAGTTAAATCATGCAAAATGCAAAAATCTTGTTGCCTGGATTTGTATATCGCGCTACACATACATGCAGTTAAAAATGTTTTGAAATGATCGTATGTTATGGCATAGTGTGAGTATGTCTATAAAATCTATGATCGTTACAATCTATAACCGGCACTAATTTCTATGGTATGCATATTGTAATAAAGTTACTACTTCATTCTACGTCTATATCTATATATCTATATCGTTTCCCCTCATTACCTTACTATCTAAAAGATACCTTGTCATGACGAGCTCTGTTTTCTGTGTTCTAGATCTCGTACAAAAACAACTCAGACACAGACCACTCAGTTACTTAACAACAAATTAATTAATAATTATTAATAAACAAACAATAAATGAAATTGATAAGAAATTCGTACAGAAAAGGTGGGGCTAATTTAAACGCCCAAACCAATATACCTTTACATTAAGAGATAAAACGGGGAGGAGGGCGGGTTTCAAATTCGATCTGTAATAACCTTGTCGAAACGAGGAGCAGAATAAATTGGCAGCACATTCTGCTTTTTATCTATACTGACCCTCATCTCCGCTCTCCCACGCGTAACCTATATGTCATCAGAATTCCAGGGAAATTACTCGCGCATCAAACTAAAGTATTTAATCTACTTTAAGTCTCAAGTGCAGGCTCCTTGGGTAAAGCAGACAAACCCCACCCCGTCATGACAAGGTATCTACAGACAGACTTATAAAATGAACAAAACAAGTAATATATAAAACATGCATATAAGAAATCCACATAAAAGAATGGCGGTAAGGAAAAGGTAGAGATTGCCAACCAGTCGTGCCCTTGCACTGAGCATCTGCAACCGGAGTCGCCCATATGAAAATAGTGAAATGAGGTAGAGGAGCACTAGCTTTACCCCTGTATCAGCATTGCGCACGATTACCCATGAGTCTCATCGTAGTTATCGTAGTAGCAACTAATGTGGGATATAATGAAATAAGTACGAACTAAGAAGTGTACAGCCAAGGTCAACTCTAGCCCGGCAGGGGCAGATCCAGGATTTTTCGTAGTCAAAATTTTTGGATTGCAAGCTAGCTCTAGGGGGTCTCTCTGAGGAGTTCAGGATTCACTTTTCGGAGATTTTTTTCCTAACTCTAAAAAGCAATTTGCGGCAATTTGAGAAGATTAAAACCTTTGTGGGCAATCGATAAGACAGTCAAAAGTATATTGACTTTCGCTTCAACAGCCGTTTGCAACTCGCTCTTGAAAGTACTTGAAGAAATATAATCTTCATATAATTATGTCTTCTATTATAATTCATAAAAATGGATTATAGTCATAATGGAATATAATCATACACGTAAATATTATTAATGTTCATTAATTTCAAGTCTGTTTCGCCCCATATCCGGGCTCGTCAGCATGCCTAGGAAATACATTTGCATAGAGTCTCAGTGACCACAGTCATAGTGTCATATTACTTTACACCTATTGTCAAAAATTGAGTAAATTCAAGTTGAAAATATAGTAAAATCCAAATCCAGCCGGTTTAATTTAACTATTCACTTTTTTGCTTTCTCAACGTTACGAATTGAGTTTAGAAATTAGAATTTCAGCTGCAAATAAGTGCAAATTTATTGAACGTGTAAGTATAAATTCGTTGCAGACAGCATGCAGCAAGGCACGCGTCGATCTTGCTCGCTTATATTAAATATTCATTAATCATTATTGTTAACAAACAACCTAATACCTAAATCCTAAATCAGCGAAATAAAATAGACGTATGAAATAAAATTTACCTTATTGCAGTTCACGACTTGTCCTCGTTATTATCTCGCACACATTTCAGAATATAGATCCTAGGAACAAAGAGGGTACTAGGAACTGACGCTGGCGAATTAGACCCATCGTCGCGGTCGGTCAGGTCGGATTGGTTGCGCTCGCCTCTGCACTCGTGTACTCGCTCTGGTAGTCGTAGCAGGCATAATTCCGTATAGCAAGAAGTAAGGAACAAACAAAAAGCAGAGCAAGAGCGAAACGAATGTCTGTGGTGATAAGTGAATTACTGTCTGCCAGAGACACGCCACGAACAATACAATTGACAAATATTAAAAAAGTCGAAATAATCATGGCATACAACAAGGGTAGCCACATTTGATCATCCAGTGATGCTGCAAGCTAAAAACAACATGCCGCACCATCCCACAATGTATTGACTTGCATTTTTTCCATAAAACTACATCTGCATGCATGCACGACAAATATCACAAACCACACAACGCATATAAAACAAGTAAAATCATGAACTCGTCCTGTGCAGCGAAAAACCTAATGTTGAAATCTCAACGTGGGCATCTGCAAACAGTCATGTTGATCTAGCCCATACTGGGTAAGTCAAGCGTATGATATACGGCAAATAAAAAATGCGGAGTATGCGTAGTAAGAGATATAGAGAAAAACATATACACACATATATAATATAATATATGCATAATATACACACGATAAATGAACTACAACAGTGCCAGAGCTTAGGGAGCGATAGCTCCTATACAAACAATATTGCTCCTGTGTGTTAGTTGTTACAATGAACGCCGTCCGTGGATAACAGAACACGGGCAGGATTGAAAAATCCCCGATGTTCCCACAGAAAAATGCCCTGCTCCTCTGCAATTGCAAGGACCACGGACAAATATTGGTGCAAAAGAGCGGCATTGGTGTTAAAAACACTATAAGATTCCCGCGTTTTGGCGATGTTGCGGTCAATCACCTGGCACACCCCATGCAATGACGCGAACGTGAAATTCGTCGCGAAGTAGGCAAACGAGCTCTTCAACCCTGGATCCTACTACCTCAGGGGCGTACTACCTCAGATCATTTGTGCTCAACTCGAGAATTATAATGTCAGGTTTGACAGATCGGACATAGGAGAGATCGAATTGAAACACTTTTTCAACTGTACGGCCATCTGTACCCAGCATGGTGACATAACCCGATTCGGGAATATGGAAATTTTAGGATGCGCGGGAATCGAAATTAACCTTTAAATCATCACGTAAGCGACGGACAAAAGAATGACCCAAAATTAGAATATTGCATGGAAAGCCAAAAGACATTGTGAATTATTTGTAATAAGAGTAAATATAGAGATAGTTACCTGTTCACAGAAGTGTCAAAAAATTCAAATTCGATCTGTAATGCCTTGTTGATGATTGTGCGCTTTTTTGATACTGTGACAATTACACAAAATGGTCAAATTAGGGTAGATCTTTACCGAAAAAAGACGCATACCGACAAATACCTGGATTAAACGTCTAATCACCCTTCACAACATAAACGATCTGTAGTGAATACCTTACTCGATAGGGCGGAGAAAATCCCCTCAACCAACCGAGGAAAACGTAAAGAGGAAAAACGTGTTATAAAGGTCTTAATAGACAACGGCTATCCCTTAGAAGTCTTCAAAAGCTGTGACAATAGGCGATATCGACACGAGAAGTTAAGCGTGAGAATGCAGCACGAAACTCGCCATCTAGTCATCTAGTTATGTTATGTTACCATATATAAAGGGTGTTACCGAGAAAATTTCCAGAACATTACAACGGGAGAAAGTTCGTGTTTCATTCCAACCGACTCGCACCTTACAACAAGAATTTCCCAAGCCGAAAGATAAATTAAATACTGACAGTGCAATTGAGACATTGTTTACAAAATTAAGTGTTCCATTCGTTATTTTGTTTATTATGGCCAAACTAACCAAGCATTAAAAACAATAAGTGTAAAGGAACATAACAGAGCTGTTGAACATAAAGATAAGAATTCTAAGATAGCTCAACACGTATAGAGGAGTATGACCATAGTATGGATAATGGATTTTATGAATGCCGAAATAGTTAGTAGGGAAAATAATTATCATAAACGATTGTTCCTCGAGGCTTGGCGTTCCCAAGTGGACAAAAATTCTGGCAATGACCATGTTGACATTCCGGATATTTATAGGTCTCTAATGCATCTTAATTAGCTAACAAACTGCATAAATAGAGGCCTGTTATTAGCCTCTTAGTTTTTAATTGTCAACTGACGAAGACCGAAGGTTTCTGATCGAAACGTCTTATAGAACTTATCTTATATGAATTAGTCTTATATGACGTCTTATATAAATTAGTTAAATACATCAATACAACAATTTGCGGTGAAAAAGTGATCAAGTTTCTTCATATATTCCTTATAAACAGTTGGCCGGATGTATTAACTTGGACATCGAACAATAAGTCGTAGTTATTTTAACATAAAATTCGGTTTTTAGTAGGTTATCATGCATGGTAATCAACTTTATAGAATGTTGAAATGTTTTGGCGGTTTGTACGCTAGTTATTTTTTTAGACCTGAAGATGGTATCTTGATACCCAAATACACTGTCAATTTTTATAGTTTTATAGTTAAAAGTTCAATGAACGTTATGCCACAATGTTTTACAATTTATTTAGGCTTTTCTTCATATATTATTTATTATTGCTTCCTTATTGCTTTTCTTATTATTTCTAAATAAATTATTTTTTTAGGAAACCGTCATCGTTCATGTCTTCTCCACAGCTCTCTGGGTCATAAACCTTTTTGGGGTCTATCGAATAGTGCTATCAACGTCAAAGGAATTTTGTTCTGCTGCAAAATAAAAGTGGAAGGTGGGACTTTATATAAGAAATGTTCATAACATGAGATGAGACGTGGAGATGACCTTGTTGCCAGGAAGGCTGAGCTGGGGGGTTCGACAGAACGATAATTTGACGATCGTCTGTTTTGTCTTATCTTGGCAGTTAAAATATAAAATGATAAATTCTCGCAATGAATACAAATATGCATGCTATATTAAATGTAATTATCTTTTTTTAAGATCCTAAAATCTTTTTGGAAAAAGTCTCAAATAGACTTTCGTACCAACAAGCGCAAACAAAATGTCATAACCAAGGCAAAGATCTCTGCAATTCAAAGGATTTGTGTAGTGATGGTAAAACACCGCATGGCGGACCAATTCCTGGAGATCACTGGGTGCCTGTGAGCGACAGCTTCAATGAATGGCTTCAAGTTGGTAAGAAAATATTCAGATATGCCTGTAATAACGAATGATAAACTAAAGCATTACAATTTTTTCAGGTAAATCTCTACATCATCCTTGCAAACTTCACAGCTCAGTCGGAGTGAAACCCGCATGGGGATTGAAAAATGGTTACCCTGGCGCTACTGGAATTCTTCCCTGTTGCCGAGTAGAACCCAAAGGTAAAATTGGCCTTTGAATGAAATTATTGATTTGAGGCTCGATAATAGCAAAATTTCCATCATTCAACTGTTCACCTTTCTCTTCCACTTTCGAATAAAAGAGAGCTTACGATTTAGGAGCAGGTATGGAGAACGCAAAATAAACTGCTTCGAACTGATGATAGAAAAGAAACCTTGTCGTATATTATCAATCCTGTGCATGCATCAGTTTATTTATTTATTTATTTAGCTTCGCCAATAATTACACAATCAACAACACATACACACAACCATTTCTGTTCTCCCCCAAAACGTGTAAACGTCAGACATTTGTCGATGTCTCAGTGGAAAACCAAAAAATATGCTCTCTTGACCGCTTTCCTCGGACGGTTTAATTACAATTGATATTAATAACGTGAATTTTATGAGTTGAGAAATACGAAAAATTGCTCAGAACTTGGCGTAAACCTTGTCAAACTTGTGGAATGCAGAGTATGACAAGCCTCCACGTTTTAAGGTTGGATAGAAAGGTGACAGCATCAACAACAACAACAACAACAACATGGTGACAGCAACAAAAGGTGGGGACACCACAACAGCTTAAAACCCATTACTGTGGGCCCTTGTATACAGACAACACATAACATATCTGTATAATTAATACTGTACATCTATATTAATAGCAACACTTTAATGGTTTAGTGGTTTAGTACGATAACAAATGTTAAAGACATGTTTTAGCCGATGGGAAGAGTTCTAACATTTAACCGAACGCAAATTTGAAGTTACACTTGCCAAGGCTTGATCATGAAATGCTAACAATTTCCACATAAAGCGCGAGAATTTATGAAGCTATGAAATCGCATGTGCCGTCTAAAACTTTATTCACTAATGAGATCTTAATGTCTCTGATGTGACACGGGTTACATTCATGCATCATGTGTCGTTTTTGATAATTATAATTTAATTTTAGGTGCAGGGATTTCAATGAAGAATATTCCACCTACAACTTCATATCAACAAGCAGTTTCAATATGCACGTCCAATGGAAAACAACTCTGCAACTCTCAAGATATCTGTAAAGACGGTAAAACTCCCATTGGTGGACCTATTCAAAGAGATCACTGGGTGCCTGTCAAAGATAGTAATAACGAATGGTTACAATTGGGTAAATATATATTGCAATTGTATTCTTTTGCAAAACTTGCAAGTATACATGCACTCGTTGTTGGGAAAGTTTTGCGATTATTTTTCTGGTGAACAATTGATATTGTTATTACCGTAAAGAACAACTTTTTCTCTCCTTATCCTTTTGTCAAGCGCTATAGCCTATGCATCTCCGAGATCGACATTGTTAAACGAACAATTCCCACGAGCTGTTTATTCCATTCATAAGACTTCTGCTGTGTTTTAGGTAACTCGCCGCACAAACCATGCATTCTTCACTCTCAGCTTGGACGTAAGCCGACCTGGGGAAGTGGTACACAAAGCCTGGTTCAGAGGGGATATCTTTTCTGTTGTGACTGACATGGTTATACGCCGTTTTTGATTCAATATATTAAAAAAATACTTCTTACTTGATAATAAGATATATTAATTGTATTTTCTAAATATTAAATAAAATAAATGTACCTGGTAATTTAAAACACCTCATTACATTTCTTTTTCTTATGACTGCGCATGAGCTATAGTGGAAGTCAATCATTATTTGGACGATTGAAACCCTGCTCAATGCATGGGCTATTATTAATTGGAAGAAATTAAGCACTGCGTGTTTTCGTGTTATATCCTTTCCCCCTTACGGTCTTTGCCATCTCTTACGGTCTTTGCCATCCCTTACGGTCTTTGCCATCCCTTATGCATGGTCTTTGCCTTCCTTTAGGGTCTTTGCCATCCCTTACAGTCTTTGTTATCCATGTTCTAGCTGCATCTCGGGAGTTCGCGAGTTTTTGCTGCTGCACGCTTGCAAGGGCTATAGCTCGCGCATGTAATAGTATAGATAGCGGGGAAACATATACCTAGAGAGTGTTTTGAAGATTTACTGGAGAACGGGGTTGCGATAGAAGTTAGTTCTCGCTTTCACTGTCAGAAACAGACACAATAATAAGTTGAATTTTAGCTGAACTATAACTTTAATGTAATTTATGATAAAATTAACTATATACATATTTAAAAGAATTCTAAGTAAAACTAGACCAAAATTAACTATTCTAATCACCATGCATATTCAGATGGACTGTTTAAACTCTTTTCGAAAGTCATAATGATTGTTGTTCTTCCTAATTTTTATAGAAAAGGAGTACTTCGCACGTAAAGTTAAAATCTACTTTAAAAAACCTCTGCAATCTTAACATTTAGTCCAAAATCGTCTACTACTTCAAATTCTTTTCTATAAAAAGCTGATCTAGATCCCCTTACACTCGCATGTACCGATCTTAGAATTTCAGCTGAAATTGCAGAGTGCTTCATCTAGACCCTTCTTGGAAAGTTTCGGGTTCGATTCTCGCCGTGGTTAAGCTAATTTTTCAGCTTGCACGCTTAATAATTCGCAGTAATTCGATACTCTGTAGTGATTTCCGGCTAATATTCAAATTCGGGGAAAAGTTATTCATGTACGTAGAAAGTGTTGACATTGCATCGCAGCATGACGTCAAGCGACGATATTTAGAGCAAAACAAGTCAAAAAAGTTAGATCGATGTAGAAGCGACGCTAAGAGATGACGTCTCCTTGAATGTACTCAGCTGTTCATCACATTTTATTGATTTACTTCGAAAGTATGCGCCTCTACTGGTCACATCCGGAGTTCTTAGGTAAGGAAGTAATTATTGGCACTCACTCAAGCAACAAACCCGGCGTCGCTTCCTTCGGTAGCGATGTCTCAGTTAACTTGAATAAACTGGGTAACTTCCCCTTAATATCCGAGTGTTCTGGTGCATGTATCTGTATGGATACGTTTGATTGCTTCTAAGCAAGTTCAGTAAGATGTAGGTGACTTTGAAAACTAAGGAGAATAAGGGCAATATTCGGAGGTTTTGTTATCGTACCGTTAATATGTAAATTCCACAACAACAACGTTAATATGTAAACTCCACACTTTATAACAATTGCCAATTCAAGTTTGAAGTCTGGCCAACTTCACATTCGATAGATCTATAGCTCTATTAATGTGATTATGTGAAAACATGTAATATATCTTTAAAGATTAACTATTAATATCTACTAAGGCTTAAGCTTCAGAAGCCAAAGGCAAAGTGTAGCTACTATAGCTTCAATAAAAATGACTTGATAACATGACTTGTCGAAAACCACTATGGAGTCGATCACATGCAATGTCGATAGTGTAATATTGCTTAAAGCAAACAATTAAGACCCGGGGTTTAAACAGTTTACTGCATGCATACTTGGAATACAGCTAGCGCGAAAAAGATAACAAAAAATTGGCGATCTATGAGTTGATTTAGAGAACGAAAGTTACGAAAGTTACGAAACTTTTAAATAATCGGCTCTAAGCAGGTATAATGGCAATCACTGTAACACAATGGAAAGGGAATATCTGATACTTGGTCGGGTGCTTTAGAATTGTTAATATATTCGTGCAGAACCAAAAACACATTTTAAGTGTGAACACACGCGAGAAGCCATGCAGAGCAAAGCCCTAACGAAGAAACATAAGTGCATTTTGACATTTGTGACATGGCATGCCTGAGTCATGTTCAGATATCGATCCCGTATGACTATACTGCTGGAGTAATAGACAGCTAAATCATTTCGCTATTAATATTCTACAACTTGCGGTGAACTACGACTTACCCCTCTATTTTAAAAGCTCACTCACACTCAAACTCATTGATTTGGAGATCTTATTCTTCTTATAGCTTTCCATTATAACTTTCTAATTGACTAAAAATAACAAAATGTCTATGTCACACTCAGAGAGTGTGAGTGAGCTTGTTGATGAATACAGACGTTAGACGTAGTTAATGACGAATATATGGCCTCTATATACGCGAGCAATACTTTAACTTTCGTCGACTGAGATCTTATCTGAATGCATATGCCATTAGAAATCCCCCATTTTCAAGGACAAAGTATATTTTTCATGAAATTTGTCTAAAAATGGGGTGAACTACGTGTGCAGAAATGTAGCCTTCGATTATGTTATATAAATTATGGCAATTACTCTCCTGCCGTGCACGGGACGACGTTGCAGCCCTGAATATAAAACAAACACGGCAAAAGCACGTCTGCAATAAAAATATGAATTAGCCGTGGATGCTGAAGTGAAAAAGCCAAGAAATTTCGTCGGAACATGATAATTCGAAGTCTCTATGAATTACCAGCTGTAAATCGCAGCATGTTGTGTGCTCAACGAGCATTATCATGTGGAATGCATGCTTATCTTTTTTCTCTGTTTGTAGATGAGAAATTTTAGTTGCACAATAAACAACGTATCATCAGAGTGAAAATGGTAAAGCAACAACAACATCAACGAGGAAAATGCAACAATGGATACCCCCAACTCGTTGGAAACGCTGGCAAAATTTCCAAGGTTGGTCGACTCCACCCGATTAAAACGAGCAAAAAGTATCGAGAATTTCTTGAAGCCGCAGAAAACGAAAGAAATTTAAAGGTATATATAATTATATATGAACAAATAATGGTCTAAAAATATACTGCCAGTTGTTTCTAGTTTTTGTAAAGGAAACATTAAGATGATGTTTATTCATTTTAGATCTGCGAAATGTCGAGACTCATTGAGAGCTACTGGGAACTCCGGGAACTTTTATTGAGCGTTGAACAGGCGAATGAAAATAATTGTAATTCCTTTTTGATAAAAGTGAGTAAATAATTGTGCTTTCATGGTTGTTTTCGTATTTCAAAGCACCATAATTTATAAACAGCTTTTTTAAGGAGCTAGAAAATAAAAAGTTGACAATTCGGGAGAAGCTGATTTATCTGGAATCCAGTGTGGATCAACCTTTACCCCTAACGATAGATGGTAAGAATTTGAAATCTATAAAATATATCTTGATTGGTTAAAAAGCATGTAATTTTTGGAGGCGAAGAATATCAATATTAATTTTTTTAGCCTTGCCAGGTTTTTAGTAGTTTAGAAAGTTTAGTAGTTTATTCTCTCAATTTCCTCGAGTGTTGATATAATAATTATAAGCCTATAAAAATGAAAACGATCCTGGTTCGAAAACGAGACTATTCGTTTTCCTTTAAATTTATAGCGTCGTTTTCATGTTGCTTGAACAGTTACCCGCGGCTCTTTTTCCCGAGTATATGTCAATACTACATGGCTAATTCATTTGCACTTATTCATATTTTTTATACATAGCAAAATTCAAATTGAATATCTTTAGGATCTATGAAGAAGATTCTTAACCGTGCCAGTTCAAAACCTCAGATGAGAAAAGAATCTTCAAAACGTACTTCCTCCTTCAAAAAATACTGTCCGAACCCTATGAATATTACTGAGGAGAGCCATGAGGTGAGATGATAGCAAATAAAATTTGTGAGATGAGATGAGGTGAGATGATAGAAAATTTTGGCAGCGGCAGATACAATTTTTAGTGAACATTAATAGTTAAGTTTAAATTTCATTTCTCTACTCTCTTCTCAATTCATGCAGTCTCCAGACTTTTGGTGTCAGCTTGGTGCCAACTGCCAAGATCACCCCAGTACTCCATGGAGTGTCACTCGAATAGTGTTTATGAAATTTTAAAGCATGTTATTTAAAATTAGTTCAAACTCGGTATTAAACGTACGATTCGTGAAAATTGTGGATTGATTGATAGAGTGAACATACGATGAGCTTGCGGGTGCTATATTAGGCCGGGGTGTCTTATCCCCTCACACATGCACCCCCAGTCACCACGTCCTTGCCTACGTAGCGTCATAGGTGAATGAGTGTTGTCACGAATTCTAGTTATTGATGAATAATTTAATGGTCGTACTTTTCTCCATAAAATTATAGACAGCTATTCTCAGAGATGGTCCAAATATCAACGATGTTCCCAAATCAGCGCCTGATATTCGCAACAGGTACACGACACGTTATATTTATACGCAATGGAAATATTGATTTAGTGGCGGAATTTATTAGGCTTTGGGTATATTTTTAGTTATTATTTTGAAAATAAAGTTTTGACTAAACATGAAAATGGCGCACAAAAAATAGTTAAGTTAATAAATTGAAAGGTTTGTCTGCGAAGTGTTGCAAGATGCGTTTCATGACGATGTTGCACGTTTCCAGCCAAAACAGAAATTTAACATATTATAGCTAAAGCCCACGATGCGATTTTTGTCGTATGATTTTAATCGGTCACGATTTTAATCGGCTAGTATAGAACAAACGATAACATTACCAACACCGCAAAATTAATACACCCTTTAATGTATGATGTATTGTCTTTATTTTGTTAGAAATAGTTGGAGAGCCAGTGTAAAAAGTCAGATTTTTGTCAGAATAAACAACCTTCAAGTGATTACCATCAATATCGACCTGTTCACTTGTGCAGATAATTTACAGCGGGTTTTAACACAAGAACTTGGTGAAAAAGCAGAAGACTATAACATTACTTTTGGATCAAAAGAGGTAATAAAAGCGTGAACACATTGTAATACTTTATGAGGTTTATGGTTTATACCATATTACAATCATCTTAATTTTTGCGTGAATTCAGTATTGTTGTCACAACTTTCGTAAATACTCACGCGTCAGTAAGTCGCAGGGTATAGTGAGGTACAACTCCCCCTCTGTCTTTTACAAGACTAGAAAAAATAAAGAAGGCAAATAAAAGATGCATACCATTTCAACAATTTAAAGATTGTATTTTAATTCGTGATCAGCGCAGAGAAATTTTAGAGGCAGCGGCTGATTTTAGAATACAATAGAACATTGTATTTTCTATGCAGTAGCAGTTAATCTTTTTATTGACATCGCGGATTTCTATTGCTTAGCTTGACAAAGACAAAACTTTGTTCGAACAAAAGATATACCATGGAACTACTGTAGATTTACATGTCCGTTTACATGGAGGTAAAGGTAAATAAAGTCTCAATTTTTTTTCGTTCATATATCACTAGTTTATTTTAACCGTTTTAATTTCGAAAATGTGTAAAGCAGCTCTGTTGTGCTAGAAATTCCGCCTACGCATCTCACCTTGCAGAGTGTTCTTACCTTTCCCAAGGACCGCCAACACCCTGCCCTGTACTCTATGAAAGACGTATGTGCATACTCATATGTACTTTCAACCTCTTTTGATAAAAAAGCTACCTAAGGCAATATTGTTTAATTTAGTGATGTATGTAGCTTTTTAAAGTTCTAACAATTCTAGGCAAATATTCCACGTGATAGGCGATTTAAATTCATGCAGAGCGCGCGCTGAATTATAAATCAAGAACTTTATAGGCTCGTATCATTACAACTTACCATTCGGAAACCAACTATAGTTGTCACGAACCACGAACCTTGGCTTGTGCCATGGACTAATGTGAAAATATACGTTAATTTAAACAGGAAAAAAGAGAACGAAGAAGAAGCTGAATCAACAAAAGAAAAAAGATGACAATATTACAGGTTAGCAAAATGTTAAAATTTTAATTCACTTCTTTTCAAATTTATTTGTAAGATTATTAATTAATAAGACATTAACGTAATCACGGCAGATTTTTGTCATCGTGAGAAAGGCTAAATGTTCATAAATCAGTTATTCACGTGAAGTCAATTGCTTCATTTAGTGTGGATTCCTCAACTCCCATTCACAGCCAGATGTTTAATAAGTACACATGTAGCTGTAAATCCACTGCACAACGTAATTTAATATTCTATTAATATTAATTTATTCATTTATAATATCATTATTGAAATGCACTGATGCGTAATACTTATAACAGTCATAGCCTTTAAAATTAGGATGAAATGGTGAATGTATGATATACCTGGATTGTAAAGAGCTTCCTCTCCTTTTTTATCCAATGTAATCTTAATTATCTGTGTTATTTTTATTTGTAAATTTGTTATTTATCAATATGTATATTGTAGTCTATAGTAAGGCCCATTCTATGTGGCTTCTTGGCATTTTTAGCTATTAGGTTATTTCAAGAAGCCACTGTATCCTTTTCTTTTGATCTGTTGCCATTTTTTATTATCTATTTTGCAATCATGGGGTAAATAAAAAGCCTTGTCTTGTCTTGTTTTGTAGTAACCCATGAAGATAATGCCAACAAATCTTCTCCGTTAACATTGGGGAGTATGAAGGTTGAAGATATTGAGGAAGACGTCGATAAAGAATCCGAACATGAATTGCTTCAAGCATCCAGGTTAATACTAGAAACACACTACGCTTATATACTCATGCATTTTCTATTGTTCTCAATTAGTTTTGGTCCCTGACTTAAGACCACGGAAAGCTGAGCGCGTTTTTTTGTTTTCGAAGTCTGAATTGTGTTCATTGCCTGTTCAAAACGCAGTGCCAAAGGTACACCTTAATGCCAAGCAGTTCTTGTGGCTGTGCACCATCGAAAACCTTTTTCTCCAAAAGCTGTTCATCGAATTCGCCTTTGTGCCATGAGAAGCTTCTTCACAAGAGAGGCGTTTTCTTTTTCGAAAGAACTAAGTTATTTGGGGCCGGTTGTACGAAGGCTGGATAGCGCTATCCTCCGGATTGCAATTTTTTCACCTGTTCTAAAAATCGAATACTCGAAGAGCGATAGAATTTCAGCTTTGGAAACAAAAATAATTAGGGGGGCGTTTAGCTTATTTTATGCACGTTATTTTGGTGTTGGGTAAGGTAAAAATTAGTTTACACGATTATGATATTAACCAACATTTCCTGAACATAATTTAACAGAAATGATATCTCTGGTACATTTGGTAAACTTCCGAACCTGGATTCAATTAGAGGTCTACTGATTCTGGAAGATATATCAAACGATGGCAAATCTCCAACTCCTGAATTTGGAAGCGTTGTGTCAGTGAAAGGTATTTGTGAAAGAAAGGAATCATTTGGTAATAATACAACACTGATAATAAGAGACGATCCTCAAGGAGCTTCCAGCATTTCTTATAAGATGAAGATCGTTATTCGTAGCAACGAAAAAAGTATGAATTTGAAAATAAACAACATCGAAAAACTATTGGGCGATGTACGTAAAGAAGTTCAAGTAGCAGTGATGGGACGAGTCGAACGCTTGGAAAGCGAAAGCAATGATACCAAAGATCCACATTGTGAAATGATACGATTTCAACTTGTGGTTGATTCAGACAACCATCATGGATTTGTTTACGTTGAAAGGATAAGGCCAAAATACACTAGACAACTTTCACAACCTTGGTGGATCTCAGAGAACGGTGATTCTTCTTCGCAATTTTTGAATTTGAAAAAAGGTGATCGCATTGCTAAAACAGCACAAAGAATTTTCCTTGAATCTACAGCTTCGAAAAATGAAATTTTGAATTACGTTGTAGCGTTGAAAAATTGCCGCGATGGTGACATTTTTGTTGGTGTCGACGTAGATGGTGTGGTCACTGGAATAAAGTCGGATGATGGAAAAATCGCAAAAATGCGCGAGGAATTGTCAATCGCTATAACGAGTATACTACCAGAATCAAATGAAGGAACAAATATCTGTTTTACTTTGGAAGAAGCGTGTAATTATGCTAATGAAAATAAATGTTTTGTTTGTGTTTTGCCTCTTTCGACTTCTGGGAAAAGTGAGATGGACGAACATTATATCAGTTGGATTCATGTTCCTCAAGGGGAAACGGAACCTCTTTATTTCAGAGCAGAAAAGAATGTACACGCTTATATACGAAAAGGAGCGGAAAAAAAACTGATAAGGAATTACAAAGAATTCTTTAGTTCATTGTATTCACTTGGCAGTCGTCCAAAACCAAAAGAAGTTTCAGAAGAAGATTTGGATATTGAAATAAAGTTCAAAGAATCTATAGGGAAAACAGGTTTAAGTAATAATTACCAGGTTTTACAAAAAATAAGGTAAATTTGACAACTGTATAATTATAAACACTTAGATTAATTATCATACGTACACATGCTGCTCCCATATGATTTTTTTATCAATAGACATGCTGTTTTTGAAATTTAATTAGTTTGTAATACTTGCGCTATCGATTTTAAAACATAATTTATTAAGAACATAAAAACAAAACTCGAGTTTAACCTTCGCAGAAATTAGTGACAAAATGGCTGTCGGTTGTGCACTATTATTTGCATTTCATCCACAGCCATCGAGTTTTACCTAAGAATACATTGAGTGAAAGTATAAAACGTAAAATCGTAGGAGCCACAGACTTCGAGCACTGTTTTTCAACTTCTAGATCGATAGAGCAGCTGTTTATGAACGTTAGGTGACCAAATCTTTTACTTTGGTATTTCTGCAATCCGCCATGCATATCTAAAAATATATCATTACAAGGTTTGCCTCCAAGTTTTGGCTGTGTTCTATCGACGAACTTATAAAATTGCTCATATTCAGGGAATTTCCGTAAATGCAATAAAAATCGTTGTTTAGAGCGACCGAAGAGCACAGAGGTGGATCCAGCACTAGTGCACTAATTTGAATTACAAAACAAAATGGCTATTTTGAGCAGTTTTCTTGTGTCATGCAAATTAGTGCACTAATGCTGGATCCACCCCTGGAAGAGCAGGAGTTTAGTGCAGGCTATTTTTAAAAAATATTGAAAAATTTGAATTTTACTATTAGAATTGTTTTTCTCGATGTCATGATTTCTGGCCATGGTTATTCACGTTTCTGCGTTAGGGCTATTCATGGCAATTCGCTGAATAACAATTCTAACCCTTTCTTTAAGGTACGAAAGTCAAAACAGCGAATTTAAGATGATTCCTGGATGTGATCCTGTTAAGACCATCGTTGATAAGCATTTGAGAAAATACGCATGTGGTTTTCTTAACGCTTCTGGTGGGACGATTTTGTTTGGCGTACAGGAGGAAAAGGAATCTAAAGTCGGGCATGTTGTCGGTATGGTCATATCTCTTCAAAAAAAGAAAGAACTTGTCCAAAAAGCAGTTACTGTACTCAGTGAATTTTATCCACCAGTTCTTAAAAGTCAATTTCGTTTAATATTCCACAAAGTTATTGTTCCACCACAATTTGTATCAGTTGTAAAGAACGAACAGCCTAATAAAGATGGCACCGATTCGTTTCTTCTTCTTCAAGGCCCGCCTGACAAAGTGTTTGAAAAATGGCCAAAATTCGTTAAAGATAAATTTCAAGATTGTCTGTCTAGAGTTATTCCTTTGAAACCAAAGCCAAATTGTGAAGATCAAAACTTCTGTATTGTGGTGGAAAATCGACGAAAATCTACCTTCGACTCAATATTCGAGAATAATTTGAATGGATTTCTTAAGGAAAATGAAAAAATTACTAGGAATTCTATAACAGAGGATGAATTGAACCATTACTTAAACCAGCTTTGCATTATTGAACTTAAGATATTTCCATCCCAGTATCCTATACATTTGACAAGGTCAGTCGAAACGCATGTTTTCGATAAGCAAGGAAACTTAGTCGAGTTAAGCATAGAAAGCCTAATGAATCGATTTAAATTTGGTAATGATTCTAAAACAACGTTTGAAGTGGATAAATTTCTTGAGGATGTGGAGGACTTTAAACAAGCGGGTAATTCCTATATTCTTATCACTTCCCCATTTCTCTTACCGACAAGTGAAAGAGATCTCCATGGCCTGGTTTTACCTCAGTGGACCCTCGTAGTCGATTTCGACCAGCATCTGAAAAAAGAAGGTCATTTGTATAGTCGATTTAAGGAACTTTATGACGTCCTTCACATTCAACGAAGAAGCTTTATTAAAACTCCTCGAGACACCAAACTTGATTTGGATCCTGAACACGCTATTTGCTGGCTCGCTGTACGAGGATATGATGAAGTAGAGAAAACTCTCTCCCAAGAAGGTTGGTTCTATAATAAACATACTTGGCTGAAAGTTTCTCGAACTTACCGAGGGCATGCAGCGACTTCAGTTTTTATCTCATGCCACTTCTGAAAAAAGTGTCTTGAAAACTAACATATTTTGAATTTATATATCACAACATAGAACATAAACAAATAGGCTGAAAGGCCGATATTAAAGCTGAAAAACCCTCCAAAATGCTCCCTTATTTTTGAAAGAGAAAATGCACACATTTTATGAAATGTTTTATGGATTTTGTCCAACAATTTTCGGCGGCCATCTTGAAAATCCCGAACTTACCGGGTGAGTTCGAAAACAGCTTGCCTGCTTTGAACTAATCAGAAAGCCTCAATTCGTACAGTTGTTGAGAAATGCATTGTTAGTTCAGCCTGTGAACACTGTTTGTCCATCCCTTAACACATTTTGTTAACTCGTATATAAAATAAGGCATGAGGTGGATAAAAGAGGCCCTGAAAAAGGCGATCCGTACCATTGGTATCGAATGGACAGTCGGTTTACCATGTTACCAATGGACAGACTCGCCACGGCGAGAGAAAATATTTTCGAACATTTTCAACTAATACTCCCGAATTGTACTCGCCATCGCTTGATTACCTATACTTATTCAAATAAATTTACAAACAACATTATTCAAAACAATAGTTGATACAAATATTTAAAAATTCGGATAAATGCACGTAATGTAGACCAGAGTACATAATTTAGAATTGCTCAAACCCCAATGAATGTATTTACAGGTCACGCCAATTGGATCACTACTCACAGAAGTTCGCTCGCATCACTACTAAAGCCAGAAATAGCACGCTGTGTCCAACCAAACTATCTCAGGATCATTGTTTTGTGGGACGAAGGACAGGAGCCGCTTATCTATTCACTGAGAACAATTCTGGAGGATATAATCAGTTTTAATGGTCATCGCACAGCCGTAACATTTGTATGTTCAACGGAGGCTGCGCGATCAGAAATCAATGAAAATTTGGTATTACCACTACAGAAAATTGGTGACAGTTATTGGCGAATATTTTCAATTGATCGTGTTTACATTGCCCAACCATACGTTCTTTCAAGGCATCTCTCGGCAAACCTACCAAGTCCATATCAGCCAGAAGATGATTATCAAGTTCCGCACCGAAAAAAAGTAAAAGGAAAGTATCAAACGTGGCCAGATATATTACCGACAAGCCTGAGAAATAATAATTGTTTGAAGGTGATGTACATCAGAAAGAAAAAAGAGCTTGAGAAACGCAAATTGGAAAAAGAACGAGAAAAGTTCTATTGCGGCTTGAAAATAACAGATATTGGCTTGCAAAACGAATTTGGGATTGAACGTGAAAAGATGAAAAAATTAGAAACAGATTTTGAACTTGTCTGTACCGATTTAAATAACAGGAGGGGGCATGTTGCAATTTTGTGTCTTAAGGTCGACCGCGGAGCCGGATCAAGTACTCTGTGCTTACAGTTTTTATTTAAACATCACAAGGAATATCCGTGTGCACAACTCCTAGAAATTGGCGAGGACTTGTTGAGTTACATTAGAGAAATTAACAATGCAACCCAGCTTCCACTCCTGTTGTTTGTTGACGAAGAAATTTCACATCCACAGGACTTCCTAGATTTCTCAAGAAAGTTAGTTGAGTGCAGCAATGTCAATGTTATCCTGCTAATAATTGAACCAGCTGAAGCTAAAAAATCCACGAACAACACTAGAATAAGAAACATTGAAGATTTATCTACTCTGCAAAAATGCCTATTAAAAGTGATTGAGCTAAGAAGAGATCTAACGAATGGAGAAATGACTGATTTAACAAACAATCTCGCGGATATCAAAAAAGACAAAAAAATTTCAGAAAAATTGGCAACGCTTAAAGGCAAAGCTGCGAGAGAAAAGAGAGTACTGACATTTGCCCATTTTGGATTAACGGTCTTTGGTAAAGACTTTTTTGGTTTGTATGAATTTGTAAAATTCAGACTTGATAACGCCGATGACAAACAGAAAACAGTCCTATCATACTTATCTCTCATCCATGTTTACACGGACTCCACTCTCCCGGCGAGTGCTCTTTCTGGTTTTCTTGAAACAAAAGAAAAAGTCAATTTGGAAAACGAATTTCAAGATGATTATGTCCGTGAACTCCTTAGTCCACCTGTAGACAACACGGACTCACGTCGAATATCATTTCACGAAGTTGCCGAGGAAATTCTCGCTCAGCTAGCATCAGTCAAATCTTGTGGGTCAGCCAGCAAGCAAACATATTGGCAGTTCATTAAGGATGTTGCCGTTGATTTAGCGAAACAGGTGTTAAGTGTCAATATTACAAATAAAACAATAGACCGTCTTACTAGACGCCTTTTTGTTACCAGCGAGTACGAGAGTGAAAAATTCTCTTCGTTGATACGTGCAATGAAAGATAACGATCGTGATACTGACATTGCTCGTGACACTTTGACTGAACTGATCATGAAAGATATTTTTCAAAAGCCGTCATCCTTTCGTGCGCACATTCTTGCACATTTAGCAAAATATTACATGATCGTTGCGAAAGACTTCGAACAAGCGAAACCTAGAATTGAAGAGGCTATAAAGGACCAACCAGATGATCCTCTTTTGCGACACATCCACGGCGACATTATTTTACGCCACTTAAAGGCTATCAAGAAGAGGCCCGACATAGTTGATATGGATACCATTGTGTCGCTCGCCGAAGAAAGCAGTAACAGCTTCAAATTTGTTCGACGAAAGCAGCCGGACGATAGCCATGGGTACAGGTCTGATGCTATGGTGCGTATCACCGTCATGCAAGCAGCCACAAAACACCAAGCTGGGACGTTACATGGAAACAAAAAAATTTGTGATAATTTCATTGATTTTTTGCTCGAAACGTTAAATGTGATACGAGAAAGAGGGGACAGAATAATAACGAGAAGAGAACGATATCTCATATCCCTTATCCCAAAAGCTCATGAATTTCTTTATGAGGGTGTAAGCGACGACTATGATCACAAGGAAAAATGGAAAGTCCAGTTTCGTAAACATGTCGGTGATTTATCAAATCTTAATACACTTTGTGACAAAATACGCAAAATTAAGTCTATCTTCCCTGATATCCGCGACAAAAACTCCACATGGCTTCATAAAGTTCTGATAAATATTCAAAGACTGAAAAATGGATTTGAAATTGATGAAGAAAATTTAACCGAAAAACAGATCGAAGAGAGAATTAATAGGCCGTAGGATGAGCATCCAAAAGATGCAATTCCGTTGCACCCCTCGTGGAACTACATAATTTTCACATGAATCAATAGATAAAAACTTACTTTATCAGAATCCGTCGCTCCCCAAGTGAAACAGGTGCACAATTGGGAAAAAAATCCCTCCAAAGTTTGCTATATTCGCGCTTCGAAATATTCGAACCGCCATTGTTTTAGTAGCAAATACGCATGCGCATGTCAGCCAAACTCGCACTGCGCACGCGCAGACAGGAAAAATGGATTTTCCCTGTGGGTTTTCCCCGATTTCCCGTGTAAAAATAACAAAATAAAATCACGGAATAAAGATCAAACCTTGTAATATTAACGAATAAATACACACACATTAAATATTGTTAAAACACATTGTACATTTTGCTTGCTCATATGCTAAATCACTTCAATTCATTGGCTATTGTTTCAAAATACCGTTTTAACGTATAATTCTACTTATTAACAACTTAATTCAATAAAAAATTGTGAGGTAAAAAACCCACCTGTATCAAACAGGATGGAGAATATATAAATATACATACAACTCACACAATCAAGAAACAAGTTAAATATTTCGCTTAAATATAGCCTCGGAATGCTATCCCGTTTCTGTAACTCAGTACTTGCACTTTGTTCCCTTTGAATGATAATGCCCCCAGTGATGTGAGTTGTCCCTTTGCCAGATCTAGTTTCTTCTGAGAAATCATCATTATCCCATGCAAGAGTAGTTGGAACATCACTAACAAAGCCTGGAGGAATAGCAGAATCATTGGATATATTCATCTGTGCAAGGGCAGTTTCATGGCACAATACAAATGAGTGTGACATGCAATGTCCAAAGCCACTCAATAGAAAAATCACTGAGGCTGAACCTGTCAGTTGTCTAAGTGCCATGGCAAGTGCTATGCTCTTGGGTGTAGGATTCCTTCCCCCAGATGCTAAATTCAGAAGGTCTTGTACAATTAATGTTAGTTTGGCATTGTTCTTGCCCTCAATTGGCACGTACTCACTTAAAGTTGGCTCTGAAGAGAATCCACAAGTCCAAGCCGAGACATTAAAAAGTTCACATGGAACCACTTTTTGCACATTATCCATTGTCAAATCAGATGCCAATGGTGGCCAACGAAGATTCAGTTTTGGTATATCTTGGACCTTTTGGCGAAGAATCAATGCAGCATTGTATAGAATTTGTAACTCATTGACTCTCGAATTTTCCTCAGTTTCTGTGTTGGAATTCAGATCATCATCATCAATGGTACCGGTATAGCTCTCTTCATCAAAGTCTTCATCGTTGTTTTCTGACTTGTTTGACATATGTTCCTCAACCAATTCGGAAGAATCCAAATTTTCCACATATACAATCTCACTAACATTTCTCATTTTCGGTACTTAGAACACAAGTTGGGGATAACTTTTCATCAGTTGTTGCTTGAGTTTAAAAGCTCTATATTTAGATGCATCCACATTCTCGGTGTCCTTAGCAATGATAACAAATTTCTCCAGCAAATCTTTCATATACCTTATTTGCTTATTTGCAATGACCTCAGTCTCGATTACTTTCTTACAGAAGACATCATAAGACTTCTCGTACACTGATGTAGATCTTTCAATCTCCAATTGCTTCTTTGTCTCTCTGGTGAGAAATTTTGTATGATTGCAGTAGCAAACTTTGTGATAGGGGACTTCCAGTGCTACACAGTCTTTCCCCCGGATTTGCACAAGTATCCGTTTATCATTCTTTCTCTCGGCAGCTGTACGTAGAAGACCAGCATCAATTATTTCTGCCAACATGAGTGGGGTTCTTTTTCTCTTCTTAGTTACCTGGTGTGACAAAACTATTAAACTAAATATCTGCTAATAACACAGTTGGATGTTTGTAGCATTAAAAACTATTTTACCCTAAATAAACTTAATTGACCACAATTCAAGATATTTTAAAACCAAACTCGAGAATGCTGTGCTACTAGTACACATTGCACTATTGCACTAGTATAATTATATCTATCAAAATGACCATACCTTGTCTAGTGAGGACCAAGAGGCGTCTCTTCCACAAACAATACATATCTCTGGACTCGTTTCTTTTAGGCAAGGTCTTATTAACGCCTGCGACTGATTGGCGTGTAATTTTTCGTCTTGGTTCTATTGGTTCCACTTCCACATGTAGTTCTTCGGTAGAAGTTACAGTTTTAGAGCTAGTTCCTTCTCCTTTTTCTTCTTTTCGCTGTTGTCTACGGATATTCTCTTCATCAGAAAATCTCTTCCAGCATTTCATACGATGGTACCATTCTAAGTTAATGCTGTCAGGGTTCTTCTCCTGTTCTCCATGTATGAATTGACAGATCCGTCATCGATGTTCTCGTACGATTTCTTAGCTATTTCAGCTTGTTGACATTTAAGTTTGGCCCATTTAGACCTACACTCAAGACATTTCTTAAGCCCTTGGCGTGTAACTTTGCAAAGTTGCTCCGTAACGCCAACAAAATGAATAAAACATGAGGATATTCGAGTTTTATAAATATTTTCAGCCATGATTGTTTTGCATAACTAAGCGTGCTTCCACTTTGAAGCATGTGTGTGCTTATGCGCGTGCGCAGTGCGAGTTTGGCTGACAAGCGCATGCGTATTTGCTACTAAAACAATGGCGGTTCGAATATTTCGAAGCGCGAATATATAAAACTTTGGAGGGATTGTTCTCCCAATTGTGCACCTGTTTCGCTTGGGGAACAACGGATTCTGATAAAGTAAATTTTTATCTATTGATTCATGTGAAAATTATGTAGTTCCACGAGGGGTGCAACGGAATCCGTTTTCTAAGCATCTTTTGGATGCTCATCCTACGGCCTATAAGGAGATTGACGAGGCTGCCAAGGGATTAAAGTACCCTGAGTCGGTAATGATGTTTTGGATCCGGTATTCTCGTCGCATAAAAAATGTTCCTCACTTGGAAGATGTTAGAAGAAAAGTTAAGGATTGGCTATTTTTCGCGAGAAAAAGGGATAAACCATCGCCAAATGCGGAGTTTTATAAGTATGTATCAATTCGGTGGATCAGTAAAGAAAAAACTTAGTTCAAATAACTTAAAGGTTTGAAAAAAACATGCCCAGTCTTTTATAAAAAGACAATTTTAGGAGCATTTGAAACGCGTGCTCAAAATTTAAAAATATTAAGATACCAAAATGTGAACGACGTCCCCCCTTCCGATCATATGTCTTAAGAAAAGTCATTCGTTTTGGTTTTATAACTTCTATGCCCTTAGAATTTTTCATCAAACATTAGTTTTAGGTTTAATTTTAATTATACCTGCATAATAATATTTGTTTAGTTATGTCGTGAACATGCTGATCGCCTTGCAAGATCCCAATGATGCCCAAAAGAGAGAAAAAGTTGCAAAAATTCCGCTAGAGAAAAAACACAAGAAAGATAATGTGACCATCCCTCAAGAATGGCTTGATCCCAAAGATGGACATCACATCAACTCCATTAACAGCCTTTTACATCATGATGACCTTGTGAAAGAGAAAGATGAAAACCACAGAAATAAGCAGCAACGTCGAGGGGTTGTCGAAGGTTATCTAAGCAAGAAGGATGGAAAAGGAGTTACAAGATGGAAAGGTACCGTCTTCGATGTTCAAAAATTATGGTTTGGCATAATTATATTCAAAAAACATTTTGAAGTTCGTTTCATACCTCAGAATGTACAAGGATCGGCAAGGTCAGGAGACACTGTCTCGTTTTGTTTGGGATTTGACCGATTGGGTCTAAGTGCCTGGTGGGTGAGACTTGAAGAAAGGGGAAGCGAACCTTTAGAGGGAGTAAGAACATTCCCCAACTTCAATGGGCACGATTCCTCATCTGATAAAGAAGAAGAAAATGCTAGTGAAGACACTACCAGGTCGAGTTCGTGTAATAATCGAGACAATTTTTATCCAAGAGAAAACGCATGGGACAGTCGAATCGGTGAGCGACTACAAGGTGTTGTAGTTTTCACTAATTCAGAAAAAGGATTTGGCAGTCTGAAGCATCCAGATATCAAAGATACGCTATTTTTTCACGCGTCACAACTCGATCAACCTGTTGTTGAACTAGAAGGAAACATTGAGAAGCACATGGTTCTAGATTTCATAGTAGAAAAAAGTAAAAGTATCAAAGAAGGTTCAACAGGCGAAATCTGTGCCAGTGATATACACGTCGTTGTGGTATGTTTTCCATTCATTAAACCTGTACTAAATATAAAACTGCTTTTTAGCAATTATAGCATAGCTTTGAGCTCTTGATATTTTTTCTAAAAAATTCAAAACGTTTTGGATTCTTGCAAGGGGTACGGGTAAAAAGCGCATCCGGAGTTGCGGAAACCGAAAATACGGAAAGGAAATGGCAAAAGCGAAAAAAGGGATAAAACGCAGAAAATAGGATAAAACTTTCTTTTAATTTATAAAAGATCTATAACATGACTTACGTTTTTTCAGTAATATTGTTTCTGCCTGGATCAGCTTAGTATGTAGATTGTATCGGTCTATAATATTTCCCATAGTTTGTTCTTTTGTAGCTAATATCACGCGTCGTAACTCATTTTATTCAAATTTATAACAAAGTTTTTGTCGAAACGAGAAAACCTATAGTAGTGCAGATAATAGTCGTTAATTATATTAATTACGTGAGAAAGTAAAATCGCTTGCAAAGAGTCTTAGGCCTGTAGTAACGGATTCGCTCTTTACGACATCTTCGTTCGCCGTTATGAAGTAAAAATGCCGGATTAACAAATGCTTATTAAATTTGATAGATTTGGTATATTTATTCAGGTCCCGGACACTAAAACATCCCCGCAGTCTTTTATTAACTTCAAATTTTGATTTGTTCCGATTGCAATGTTATAATCCGGTGCTTTTGATCAATTATATTTTCATCCCAACTGTGTAGTACACAGAACATTTCAAATGAACACAAGGCTAAATGAAGGTGTGCTGACTGACCTGTTTTCTTTTGCAAACAGGAAAAAGATATCGATCCAAAAATTACAACATTTCTCAAAAGAAGAAGGTAAGTACGATAAGCTTTCTATATTTTTGCTCTATACAGTACATTGGAGGGGGGGGGGGGGGTTGTTTTCGCCGGGTCTTCATAGTTACACGACTAAAAACACGATCAATCTACACTAAACAACCATAGCCTACAATGGACCTTTTTCATAATGAAGTCAAACGAGGAAAGTATGATGTTACACGAAGTTTGATTGGCTCGATAGTTTTGTGGAGCCAATCAAATTTCGTGTAACATCGGACTTTCCGCGTTTGGCGTCATTATAAGAAAGGTCTATTGCATACTATTATTACATATATGTTCCATTCACTATTAACAAGAGCATAGTGCAGATTAATTTTGATGATTAAATAATAGGCAACTTATATATATATCGTTGTTTACCAATACTTTTTCAGAAACTGCAAGCGTGCATTATGGCCTCAAAATACACGCGCTTTAGCTCGTTATACCGGGTGGCGCAAAAGAAGGGTTCCCCCTCTTAGACTTAACTATCGTAATTAAAAAACTAATACAGATATCTTATTCAAATAAAGTTTGTTGAACGCTGTAATGTCTAACTTAAATTTTGATATATGTCTTGAACAATTCTGTAGAATATTAGTTGAGATCGAGCTGTTTAAAATAAAGGTGCATTTTTTGACGAAGCGAATAACATGACTAAATATCGCGACTCAACTAAGTTATTTTCAACTTCCACGATGGGCGTTTTTTAAAGCGTTTTTTTTTCATGTTTGTTGTCTTTGCATGTTTAAAGATTCTCAGATTAAGGTATTCGAAGTATCTTTTAAGTGTATTTGATGTTAAAATAATACTGTTCATCGTTCGAACAAGGAGTTGCAATACACAAGGGAACGAAAGAAAAGGAGCTTGCCCGCTTTGTTATAAACATGCCTCGTTTAATGATACAGCAACGAGTTTGGATTTGTTTGGAATATGCGAGGACTAATAATGCAAGAGAAGTTTTACGTCGATGGCAAAATCATTGGAATAATATTCCATCTCCGAGCATAAAAACAGTGAAGATTTTCCAGACGAAGCTATCAATACTTTGTTCTTAGTGTTGCGTGCTGTTTTCAGTCTATTTTAGAACATATTTTGCTTCTCCCAGAAACGCTACCTTGAGTTTAAACGCCTATATCTTGGCTAATATTGTATAGAAATGTACAAGGCTTGCAATAAAATTTAAGTTAAACACCACTCCACTCAATAGACTTTACTTGAAAATGATATATTTTTTAGTTTTTAAATTTTATTTTTAATTTTTTTAAATTAAGTCAAAGAGGAGGAACATTTTTTTGCGCCACCCGGTATATTACACCTATATTATAATAATATTTAACTAAACAATATCATATAACTTACTATAATTATTGATCTCTATACATGTTATTTATCATCATTCTTCTTCTGATAATGACTATAGCGAATCTTTCAAAACGCATACAGATGTCCAAAGAGCTAGACTACGAAACCTTTTTGGAAACCATGAATTTTACTAATACGTTTTCTTCACTAATGCACACAAATGGATGCATAAATATAACTGTAACACGCCCTAAACTGGAACTAATTATTGCGTCATATGTAGCTGTTGAATAAGTAGAGAGTTCATGTCACTCTTTATCGGCGTTGCTAAAGTTATCATAAGCACATATGCCACTCACAGTTATTTCTTTCTTGTATAATTATGCCGTAACGTTAATAAATTTCAAAATTCTGATATCATCTAGTGAGAATGATTCTTCACCCTCGGTCGTTCGACATCATAGAGAACTGGGAAGGGAAACACGTATGGTTGAGCAATCAAAAGAAACCGGAGTGTTTGTTAAACATTCCAATGATGGAACCTACGGATTTATTAAACCCGATCGAGCATCATTTGGAAGAGATATATTTTTTCATCGTGAAGGTTTAGTTAGTGGAGAGTCCATGCCAAACGTTGGAAAACGTGTCCAATTTTCGGTTTTTGAAACCAAAAAAGGCTTTAAAGCTACTCAAGTTTGCGAAGGAATTGAGGTAACTATTATTCCAAATGGATAACGGATAATAAGGGGGTATCGATAAAAAGCTCCTAAGGTATGCAATTATTAGTGCCGCTTTGATGTTACCCAAATTCATTAGTTTTAATACCAAAAACTATGTGTAAATTGCAAAGTTTTGGTTAATTTAGAAAATAGAAAAGAAGGAAGGAATGTCATCGCCCAGGGAAAGCAAGGCCTTTTCATACATTAGAAACGAAAAACCTTGCTGCACAAATTGATAAGTTTTGATTCTCATATATTAGGATCATCCTAGGAAAGGAGAAAGTTTAGAAGTTTGGTTTAAAGAATAGTAGTTTGAAAAAATTTAAACAAATGTTTACATTTTAAACTATACAGGGTGTATAAAAATAACCCAACTTCAATATGCTATTGTACGTGAATTACTCAGCAAATATTTCAAAACCAGAAGTTTGCAAAGATCTTTGATTACTTTGTTAGATAAATTTCCTTTTCATTCAGTATATGTTAAACTGAAAATGCAATTAATGATTCCCCAATTCATAACTTTATAATGAATACTTTAAAGCCCATCATTTATTGGATTTTCTAGAATAATTCCTACAAGAGAACAGCCTTGGCTTCGGGCCTTTTAGGAATTATAGAGAGCGTATCGGATAATTGCGGATATATTGTTAGCAATAGCCCATCAGGATCCAAAAACCGGTTGAAATTTTCTCAAAAGGATGTTCAAAATGGGCGTTTTCAAGATATTACTGAGAATACTAAAGTGTATTACGAAATTGGTAGTAGAGGAGGGAAGTTAATTGCCAAAAACGTGAATATTATAGCTTAATAATAACGTAAATAATATAGCTTATTAATTTTGTAAACATAAAAGCTATGCACACTAGAAAATTCATTATTAGCAAAATAAAATTACTCGATGCTGATTGGTCGAGAGGAGTACAGCAAAGTGAAACACAAATACTGCCAAAAGTACAAATGGAGTAAAAAAGAAAAATTCAGAAGTGATGAATTAACGTCGATCAATGATGATTATCAGATCAACGAAAAGTTGATACAACCTGAAGTTAGAACAAGAGTAGGTCGGGTGTACCTGTGTATTCACCACCCGAACGTTATAATTTCAACATAAGATGTTATACGAAAGTACAAATGACGTTGTGGCTTGTTGATACGAACCCACTGACTAAATGTCGGGACAACATTCTCCGCGAGAGAAATTGTGTAGTAGTTTGCATTTCACCCTCCTCTCCATGGGAAGCAGACTGACCCGCCCCTCCAGGGGAGCATAACAATTATTTAAGAAAAGAACGTCATGTGTGGTTGTTGAGTATTTCTAGATCTTTCAACGAGTTTTTATATTATACTGTGTTTATGAGCTTGAGAATCGTTGTTATTTAAAAAAGGAATCAACAAGTACTAGAAATACATGCATGCAGCAACCCCTCGCTATTTCAAAACAAGTACACAATCATACAGGCGATTGTGAAATGCAACAAAACTTAAATCAGCCATATTATATTTTACTGAGTATATTATAGCTAATGTTTCCATCATTCGATACAAAAATAATCATATGGCTAGTGCACATAAACATTGCCCATTCAATTTTGCTGCATCATACCATGGCAGCAGTTAAGTAATAGTTTAGCACAAAATCTTCAGAATGAAAGAAAAAACCTGAAATGTTATTTTACTCTGTGATGCAGTCGACGGTTAAAAGTTTTATACTTAAAAAACAGTGTGTATTTTTTATATCAAAATCCAAATTACAGTTTCTTTTTGAAGTTAAAGCCAAGGTGTAAAGCCTTTCACAGGTTCATAAAAAGGTTCATTATACAAAGCTGAAAATTCAAAAAAGATCAACTGGCGGAAAATTACAGAGCTGAAAATTATACAAATACAGCTCATCTTTACCGGGAAACAAATAAGAAATAATGTCTTGACTTTATCCATGTTCGTCCTTGCTATCTGCCATGCTTCATCTTGTTTGTTCTCGTTCTTTTTTTGCATAAAGTTTATGAAACGCTTTTGCAAAAAAGTTTACAAAATGTCGGTTAAATTGTCTTGGCCAATCAGAACGTTTGTTGATTACCAGTCGTTACTCGCGCATGCGCATAACCTACAAAACCACCCAACGTCGACCGTCCTTGACATATAATTTGGACAGCTTGAGATTCCGCTATGTTTTCCCGGGTTTCGGGTGTAATTCTTAATCTCCGACCGGAATCAGTACCCTCGCTGGCGCTCCGAGCCCGCTCGGGGATAATTTATCCGAGTTTGTGTTCTCGTGTGGCAAAAGACGCTATGCATTCTAAAGGAGATGTTTTCTCCGCACAAGACGGCACTTCGAGATATCTAAAGTTTCAAGTATAGCTACTTCTGAAAAGCTAAACGAAAGCTAGGTCGCAAGTCCCTTTTCTTAAAAAAAGTTTTCTGTACTTTCGAAAGCAGGCTACAATCTTTCGGATTTAAAACAACACACATACGACCATGCACGCGGCGCGTATCTTCCAGGCTAATCGTAGAAATCATAAAAATCAGCAAAAACATGTTCAAGAATATTGCTGTTTCTTGTCAGGAAATCAACAAGTTATATTAGCGCATATTGTAATTCAGGTGGGGCCAATGTGAAATATTGCACCCTTCAGAGGTAATTTTATTTTGGCGCCACCTCCCTTATTATTTTCCATTCAGGGTCGATAATCATATTTTCCATTCAGGGTCGATAATGGTTTTATATCGGTGACGGGAGGTCGCAGAAGAACAAACGCTGATATTACTGACAGCTATATCATCTATAGAAAATATTTCCTATCTGTGAAACCTGTTGTATCATCATATAAACAATACTATAAATGAATGAAGTAGCAATGAATTCTTTTAAGTTGCTGACGTTTAGTCATGACAATTAATTTTATATTAATTTTAATTTTAAAGTTTACAGAGGCAAATAGACGTAAGCTACCTTGCTTTTTTTCACGTTAACTGTGTCTACTATTGTTTAGTCTTGTATATATTTTTTAGGTAGTTTCACCGCATTTTGGCATAAATTTATAATTGATGTAAATTAAAGTATTATTGATGCTTTAAAGTGCATGTGACCTTCATATTGTACAGTACGACTGTGGTTGACATGTGCGAACTCCGTATCATTATTGGCTCCACGAATCAATGGTGGCATGGGAACGCGAAAGTCTACTCCTCCACATTATGGGGTTCATTAGCGGCATAATTTGGAGTCATGGTGAGTAAATTTATGTCGAAATATTGCATGACACGCGTTGAGAATGAGCAGGAAAGGTCGTGAGAATGAGAGGCCTGGAAAAACCGGGAGAAGTAATACAAACCAGGGATCTTGGACAATTTGAGGACCATGAACAGCCTAACATCGCCAAAGGGGAGTCAACATTACATTCCGGGGGATCAGTCCATGGTACGGGGGGTGAGGCTCAAGAAGCCTTGCTAGCTGACATTGGGGAACTAAATGGGGACAACCGAAGAAGTTGGACATTATCACAAAAGGTTGTACAAAATGCTATACAGTCTACCTTATCAGAACTAAATAAAGAAGAGAAGCTTTTAAAAGCAGCATCAGAATTTGTAAACAGGGCTTTGCCACTAGGGCCAGTGCCCAAGGATTTTGACATATATTTATCAAGTACCAAATCATCTTACCTGAAGTGCAAAGAATTGTTGAAAGAACTAAATAAATTGTTAGAGAAAGACAAATGAGGAGAACTATCACAGCAAGCACATGAACATGTAACCTATGGTAAAGAACTTTTGGAATGCGCACTGAAAGCCATAATTAAATGATGCGACAGATAGAGTGAGGTCCCGAGAGGTTTGCCTCTTCTCTAGGTTAAATAGGTACCTGGCGCAGTGTTTTGTCACGAGCAAGTTCATTATCATCTGCTAGTGCAAGAAGGAAGGCTATGGTAGAAGCTGCAGCTGCAAAGAAAAAAGCTGAATTCGATAGAGTCATGGCAGCGAGAGAAAACGAGAGGAAATTTTTCGAAGGCGTGCCCAACATGATAATTTATAGAGATGGCTCTTCTAGCTGCCGAGAAAGTAGAAGCTATTGCAAATGCTAAGCTTCATGCTATAGAACAGTCCATTTTAAAAGAAGAATCACCTTACCTGTTAACCCAGAAAGAATACATCGAAGAACAAGAATGTGAGGGTCGACACTCATAGTGATCCCAAACACGAGTCAAATTTATCACATTCCAACGACCATTCCTCCAAAACCGAACTCGATACAATCAAGAACACAACTGAAGACCACCAGTGATAAACCAAAGACCGAAAGAGTAGGAGCAGAAAATGCCAACGAACTTGCTAACAACAAAGGAACAATAAGTGTGTTTACCTCTAAAGAATTTGCAGGAAACCTTCTTATTTTTACCCCCACATCGCCTGTCGCTGGTCCATCCATGTCACAAGGATGCATTAATGGGATAGCAAAAACGAACGAGCGCGTAGTCGCAATCTTAGCAAGGCAGAGTCTCCTAAAATGCCATCCAGAAGCTTTCGAAGGAGACACAACTCTATCCCATCCGTCGAAAAAATCGTTCAAGGCCAAGCAGCAAGGTTTAACGCGCGGGATAGTTGGAAGAAAGTAAATTTACCGTTATGATTTAGAAGCTAGTGAACTTAAAAAAACACCCTAAAGTTTCAGCTCGCGAAGCGTGTTCGAGCAAACAGGCGAATGGTAGCCGTAATCTTAAGGTCTTTAAAACCGATATGAGAGATGGCGATAAGAATGAAGCAAAACGTGGGAAACACTGTTTCTAGCATGACCGACACGGACACGAGCTAATCGACTGTGAAGCCTTTTCCACCAAGAGTCTGTTTAAGAGGGAATGGAATGGCTGAAGTCAGTCGGTCTATGTTTCCGGTGTCTGTCGGGAAAACATTCGCCTAAAGATTGCAAAAGGGACGTGAAGCAGCACACGCCATCTGGTTATATTGCACAAGGAGAGAGAGCTTAAAGATAAAGAAGTTAAAGAAGAAGTCAAGTCGAAGTGCACTTCCGTATGTCGAGGAAACACTGGTGGATTGTCATGCAGTAAAATCGTGTTGGTCGATGTTTTCAGCGAGGAAGATCCAAGTGTGGTGGACAGAGTATGTGCAATCGTAGAGGAGCAGTACAATACCTCCATCATCACACCCAATCTGGCCGATCTAGGGTGTACAGAATACTTGTCAAGTCTTTAGATACGACGACACCTTCTATGACAAAGTATTTCCCTAATCTCCATGAAATTGCAAGTGAAATCCACCCACTTCGTAATTACGAAAGATGAAGAATTGGAAAGCAAGCAAGGAAACACGAAGCCTTAGCAATGGTCGAAGCGTCGAGAACGATAACAAGCATCTAACGTGGAGAGATTGTGGCGGTAGTTCTAAGATTAGACCCCTTCTTAGTTTAGGAAGGAATCCTTCGGATCGGCGGACGCCTCAATCAATCATGCCAAAAGTTTGAAAAGAAGCATCCGATCCTCAGGCTGAAGAAACATCACGTCACACAACTCTTACTCCGTCACTATCACGAAAAGGTCACTCACCATCAAGGACGACAAATTACGCATGGGGCAGTGCGACAAGCTGGTTTCTGGGTGATCAATGGTAATAAAATAGTGGCAAGAATTATTAAAACGTGTGTAAGGAGTAAAAAGCTTAGAGGGCGAACGCTCACGCAACATATGGCGGACTTACCTGTTGATCAAATAGAAGCCCACCAACCGTTTACCAATGTCGGACGTTTTTGGTCCCTGGCAGATTCAAATCAAGAAACTAAGAGGAAAAGCTGTGAATGCCAAACTATGAGGCCTGCTGTTTATGCAGAAGAATACACATCTAGATACTTCACTCAATGGACGGGAATTCCTGCATATGCGCATTACGCCGTTTTTTCGCCATTCGTGGCCCGGCATCCACTTTAAGATGCGACTGCGGTACGAATTTCGTCGGACCACAGCCCGAGCTTGATGGTGCACTTAGAAATGGATACAGAGAGTCCAGAAGTATGTTGTAGATCAAGGGTGCGAATGGAGGTTCAATCCTCCGCACGCCTCGCACCTCGGAGAATAGGACGATACGTAGAGTGTTAAATGTAATGTTGTTAAAGACCGGAGCAGCCCAATTCGACGACGAGTTACTCCTTACGTTGATGGCCAAGTTACAGCTATTGTAAACAACCGACCAATCGCTACAGTTTCAGCCGATATTGACTACCCACTTCCCTTGAGATGCCGCTTCTTCCTCCGCAGGGATATTTGTAAGAGAAGATCTGTATGCGAGAAAACGTTAGAGAAGGGTCCAATACCTCGTGGACAGTTTTAGCTACGCTGGAAACGGGAGTATTTGCAAAACCTCCATTGAAGGCCCAAGTAGAACACTTGTTACACCTTCTTGAAAGCACATCCGCCGCTTTGCCAAGTCTATTGCTACAAATCTGGTAAAAGTTATAATTCGGGCACATTGTATAATTCAAAATTCGGGCAATTTTTCCAGCCGTGACGTCGGTGAACTAAATTTAGCATCCGTTTTTAACTTGTCATGTGATAGTGTAGCAGCTCTTCCGGTCAATATTTAAATTCGCGGAACTGTGTATTATTGTCACTAAATAATTATGTAATATCACAGCATGACGCGAAGCGATGTTTTAATTTTGTAATGAAATAATAACACAATTTCGTGAAGTTGTTCTTTGAAAGGCAGTGCGGAAGACACTAAATCAAACTTCAGCGATTTATTCTTTTTGAAAATGATTTCTTGAGCAATATTTATGGCGCTCTGTATTTCCCGACGTAGAGTCATATAGGTAAGCAAATTTTGAGTTGTGTTCGTTGCCATGACTGAATAGTGCACTGTAATCGCCGGTACAAAGATGCATTTTACCTCTTCCTCATTTTGCCTAAACCTTTGGCTCACGTGTTTATAATTTGTGTTCGGTGGGTTTTGTTTAAATTTGAAACGTTATATATCCTAAAAAAGCGTACTGTTGTTGTTATACTTAAAATATTTTTACATCGCAGTTTACTCAGTGAAATGAACTATATAATAATATTGACCTATTTTGAAACTAACACAGCCACGATTAATAAGATAAGCCGAAACTCGAAAGCCAAAGGAACAAGACAGATGAAAAACATAGCAAAGACAAGTCTGATAAAATAAGCCAAAGGAAGTAGAAGGAATAAATAAATAATATTGATTGCGACAAAGTCTGCGGTGTAGGGCGAATTATTAATGACATGATATCGATATTGTTACTGAAGCCCTCGAAATTCGAATCAACATTTGTGATTAATCACACACAACAAAATTATTTGCTTCGATCTATCCTGTCGCATAAAACGTTCTAGAAAGTATATAGTTGTTTTGTTCGATTGTTTTGGAATATATAACAACAGGAAGGCCTTGTTTACCTGCCATATTATAAATTTAACCGGTTCAAGTGCGGAAAGAGGTACGGAACGGATGTGACAACAAATTAAAAAGGGATAAATGGAAACGATGCACTATCGTTAAATAATCATCTAGTATACAATGACAGGATAAAAATTGCTTTTAAAAACTTAAACACTCATATTTATGCAAGTTCAAAACATTGTCGATGTTGCCACTTGAATTTATAAGTAAACAAAGCCAAAGGGGGTATATATTATTATACCAAATTTACAAACGATATATAACTTCAAATTTCATAAAACTGCCCGATTACAGCCGTTTTCACAATAGAAGACGAACAAATAGCCGGCTATTTACAAACAACGTACACACGCGAAGAAGTGAAGATAGGATATTGGTATAAATATTTATTGAGTAAGCAAAATTTTATGTATGAAGAATGAACATATATAGAACAAATCTACAATACCGACTTGTAAATAAATTTGGTTTAGAATGGTGTCTGGTAGGTACTGTAAATATCTATGACAAACTTTTACTGTCTTCAAGAATCAAGCTAAAAGAATAATGACTGACGATAAAAACCTAGTATAGTTCACCATTACAAACACGGCAACGCGGTTGGCACGAAATGAATATGAAATGAATATTCGTAGAATCATATAGATTTCTTCTATATAGAAACCGGTATTAATAGTTGGGCCAGTTCAGCTAGATGCATTATCGTCAGCATTAATAGTTGTAATTTCGGTGTGACGAGAATTTTTCAGTGTTGCTCTAGCTAGCTTCTATATGTCGCTAGTTTGCTGTTGCATGCTATAACTCAGTTTTCTATTGCTAAAATCAATTTTTTGGTCATGGTTTATGATTCTTGACATTCCTCATCAGTGTGTTTTCTCTTCTCCTGAATGTTCACGGTCTCGCCGGTGCAGCTCAAATTAGCTACATTAACTTTGTCTGCTTTTCTAATGGTGGTGTCTTTCGGTGAGGGGAACGTACATTTGCTCAAGTTTGCTAAGCGGTTTGCATTGAATTCCATAGGGCTTAATAATTTGTTTGAGGGGTTCTGTTAAGAGGGGTTCTGCATGGAAGCACAGCGTGTAAACATTAGGGAGCTTTAGCGGCAACTATGCATGTACGATTACGAGTAAATGATTCGCCATTTTCGGTCGATAAAGAAGGTTTTGTTGCTACCCTTGACTGGATTTTAATATGCTTGTATCATGAGAATGCTAGCTATAGAATAGTGACGTAAAATCGAGCCCAATTCATAGCGCTATTTATCTTGAACAAAATACGTGCTATATATACCCAACTTAAATAATAGGCGTTCTGTGATATAATACTCTGACACAAGTTCGGCGTAAAAGGCAGATAATCGTTGTGTCTCAGGACGAGATAAAAACGTCTGCCTGATTATAACAAAAAATTAATTATAAGGCCACAGTTTGGTTTAAACTAATGGTTTACTTATTTCTACCTTCATCGATCATATTAATTTATAAACTAATGGTTTACTTATTTCTACCTTCATCGATCATATTAATTTATAACGCGTGGCAGTAAAATTACTAATTGATGAATGACCATGCGTGACAACGTTTAAAAAAATCGGCTCAACTCCTCTGATCAGCCGAATGAAAATTTGTGTTTGTATTTTTTATTCCTGCCTTTACCCATGTATTGAATTGTACGAAATTATTATCCGTGCCGGGCGATGCTGAAATTTTAGCGGACAGTAGGCATGCAAGAGATATGACTGCAAATGCAATAAAGTAACTGAAATTGGCTACAATAGGTTGTGGCTTTGTGCACTACTTTGCATTAATTTCCTCCATAGATAATGTCTTATTATTGTGAAAATATAAAACTTGAAATCGTCAAGTATAAAAATATATTGCTCAATATTTTGGCCGTATTCTCTCAACGAACTTATAAAATCGCTCACATTCATACAAATATTTCGATTCGGATAGTCGACGTGTAACATACCAAGATTACTGAGAAATTGTTCAAGATATTGTCTTCCGTATTCCTGGTATAAGTGTTCTGGTACGGTCCATAATTTCTCTGGACGTTCAGCAGGCAATTCAATTATGCGAAACCTGTTTAATACACATTATTTTAGCCCCATTAGTTAACATTCACCAAAGGCGTTACCGAACGTAAATTCAATTATGGAAATTTCTAACGCCAATGCGTGGTAATCTTACTGTTTTTACAGGAATGAGCCACAGGTCAAGAGTTATAACATCTCATGCGTGCAATCAAATTCCATGTTTACGTACGTAAGCAAGCGTTTCTCCCAGCTGGCAACTTTCGTGCGAATAAATTAAGCCGAACGTTATTAAACGTTTGTCCAATAAGGGCTTGCTATTCTACGGATTCAGCGGTTAGCCACTGGGAAACTGTATTTTAACGATTGTTTCGTTCAGAAGTGAGACTTTGCGTGTGTTTACGTCTTCGGTCAATGTTAAGTATTTAGAACACAAGCCCCTTTTACACGACATGAATTTTTGGCATGGGCCGCTTAAGGTGGCTCCCTACAGTTTCTCGAAATTTTTTTTAATGCACGTTTTAAACAGGGATATTCAGCATGTCTAGTGCGATTTTCTATTGCAAAAAAACGTTATTTTAGCAAGGTCCAGGGCAAAAGCAATTTTATGTTTTGTACTTTTACTATATTAATTTTTATGATAAAAGATGAAGGCCATTATGTTAAAAGTTAAATGCATGCATATTAATAATTATATGAAAATCGCCATGTCGCAAATTTCTGGTAAATGCATGGTTACAGGTTTAACAATTACTTAATGGTTTCCGTGTTTGGATGGCCTGATCCAAACACGCGGGAATGTTGCGAGAGTTAAGAAAAGCGTGCGAAACACTCGCCGAAAATTGTTTTATAAAATAACAAACCATAATAAATTTGTTTTTAAATTCCCGCGAATTTTCGGTGTTTGGATGACCTGATTTATAATACTATTTACCATGCAGTGCATTATATAATCATGCATTCAAATTCCAACCGAAGCTTCATTTCAATACGGAGTACTTTTTTTGATACACCCGACCCTGTATAATGCATCTTTAAAAGAGATCATTTCAACCGATTTCGTGAAAAATTATCAAACATGTATTGATGTAATAACGTTTTAAACCGATAATAATTAAATCTATAATATTTTTTTTATTTCTGGCAGGAAAATGACAAGAGACAGAGGAAGAATAATGTCCAACGAATACCCTCAACTTGTCGGGCATACAGGAAATGTCGTGTGGGATGAAAGGCTGCATCCACTTAAAATGAATAAAAAGTATAAAAATTTTCTTCTTGCTGCAGAGCGCGCCAGAAAATCAAAGGTATGAAGAAATCAGGCGTTTTTAACATACATGTGGCGATTTTTCAAGTTTAAAATATTATTAATAGTTGGTTAATTAACTTACATGAACATTTTATTCTCACTGATCGATAGAATTCCGATATGTTTTGTGTCATTGAACAATACTGGGAATTGTGTGGTGTTTTGAGTAGCCTCGAGAAAGAAAACGAAAATAATTCCAATCTAGCATTAATAATGGTTGGTCTTCTATAATTTGTTAAAAGTTCATAATAATTATTTGGTTTGGCATTGTAAAGCAAGAAATAATTCATCCTAATTTCTGCGTTCTCTTTAGGAGCTAGAAGACAGAAAATTCACTCTTAAGAAAAAACTACTTTATCTTCAGTCAAACATTGACTATCCATTACCAGCAACACTAAACAGTAAGTAATTTTAACAATCGACAATTTGCATCAATATAACCAGAAAGCAGCGTGGCAGCGTCTTCAAACAACTTAGCATCAAATGTGGTATAACAACTGCCTCAAATAGACAAAAACACTTCGTCAGGAGTGAATATAAATGGGGGAGAACACATGTTTTTTTGTACGGGGGCAAAACACGTGATAAAAATGCGCCAATATAACCAATTAAAAAATCAAAACAAATTGGAGTACACTATGTTGCCATGCAACGAGATTCGTGACTGTGGGCTAAGAATAGCCCACAATGAGGGAAGCCTGTTCGGCAACGGAAATTTTTTACAACCAGAGCTATTTTACTCTCTACAACAAAACTGTTCAAAGCCCATACAATGGAACATTCTCCTGTGGCATTGGCCAATGTAAAAATGCTCTTTTGCCGATTCCGGGACTGTTATTTCGGCTCCCAATTCACAGTTTTTTATCCGGCACCATTTCACATGTCTCTCCTCCAACCTCATATATTGCATCTCATGCAACAAATGTGGTTTACTATACATCAATGAAACTGGAAGATCTCTTAGGGTAAGGTTTGGTGAACACAGTAGGCCGGTCAACAACCACGATAACACCAAGCCTGTTGCCAGACACTTTACCTCTTGGTAATCATGGCGTCACGGACATGAGAATTAGAGCCCTCTGTCTCATTTCCGGTACTAACGATAGCCGTAAACGACAAGAAATGCGACTCATCCACAGTTTCGGCACTTTTCATCCCTCCGGCATAAATGAAAGTCTCTTTCATTTAAGCTTATTCACCCAGAGTAATATGACTTCTATTTCTTTGTTTACATCAAAACTGGTTGTAATATATTTTCGTTGCCGATCAGGGTTCCCTCATTGCGGGCTATTCTTAGCCTACAATCAGGCGTCTCTTTGGCAACATAGTGTATTCCATTAATTCCAATTTGTTTTGATTTTTTTTCTCCCCTATTTATTTTCAACTAACTCTGCCTGACGGAGGCCGGCCCTCAGGTCAAAACGTCGAGAAGTGTTTTTGTCTATTTTAGGCAGTGTTATACAACATAGGTGGAAAGAGAAATACTAAAATTATAAAAATAGGAGAGACAAAGTTCTGTTTCAAAATTGCGAAATGCTGTAAAATACGGAAAATGCTTCCTTTAAACATTCTCAACTTGTTACCATTTTACAATAGAAAATACTTAGTAAGCAAACATTCTATTATTTGTGGTAATAATCAATGTACTCTCTCTTGCAATGATAATCAACTAGCTACTTTAGCTAAAATCCAAATCAAATAGAGCCGAGTAAAAATGTCAAACTACCAAGCAATGATAATTTTAAGTAGCTAATACTGCAATAAATATGAAAATGACTGCCTTTATTATGTATATACACCGGGATCACCGGGATGTCAGAGGGTGTGGCGTACGTCATTTTGTAGCGTACGTCATTGCATTAATAATAAAAGTTCACAATATTTATTGGGCCGTCTATCTATGGTTACTAAAGCAGAAGCAAGCGTGGAATATCAAGGCGTAGGAATAAATTAGCTAAGTTGCTCCGTTTAGACAAAAACTCTCAGTTCAAAGATGTGAATTTGACAACGCACAGTATCTCTAGTAGTCTTTGTGCACGTTTTAGATACTGATGTAAAAAATCTGTCTTTAGAGTATATGAAGCAGATCCTAAATTGTGATTCCCCACAAAGATCGAGAATGAGGTCTTTTAACTGCGTGAAGAAAAGACAAACAATTAACAGCAAGAAAAATGTCACTCTTGCCGCAGAAAAGCATTCGCAGGTTAGAATATTATTATTTCACAATATCCAATATGATAATATAACAATGCGACTTACTATATGCAATTTTATTGAATACGTAGCAAAAAACTCGATTACTATACGCATAATTTTTTATAGAAAACCTCTTCCCATGGAAACGGTTTTTCTGTCGCCATGAATGTCAATGAACGTGCTCCAGAAGCCTTTAAAAGGTACAATGGTATACTGTTTCGGCAATTACTAGAAAAATAAACGTAATGAACGTTTATTTTTCTAGTAATTTGTATTTTTTATTATTATTATATAGTATTTTATTATTGCTATTAATATTTTTTATTATTATTAGTAATTTTTAAACTTTTCTAGTAATTATAGTCTTTTTTATTATTAGCTACTAGTCTATTTTTCATTATTATCCGTTATTATTCGTTTAGAAACGTTCATGTGTGAAAAGAAGGCCTATATGATATTCATCGTTTAGATGATAATCATCTTTTTCGTATTTCATTATATATATTCATAACAAATGAGAATTTTGGTGAGGTATTCTAACATCCATCGTAATTATCGCCACTCTGGTTTCCAGAGTGGCGATATTTACGATGGATTATATACCTAGTCTAACATGACGTTCTATTCTTACTTGCATTGTTTGTGCTCAAATTAAAATAAAGCCCTATAATGAAGATTACATAATTATATAAAAAACCAATGAGTTTAATTAGCTAAGACATCACAGTATGATTTTTTTCCCTATAAGATTCTCTTCAAAGCTCCAACTTTATAGCAAAATGGGCCTCTATAGGTTTTCTATGTGTGTTATGAAATGGTATTTCATGTCAATAAATAACAAAATTATAATTATTTATTTTAAATAGTGTAGTTACCTTTGCGAACTCTGGGTCAGATACTTCAAAATGACAAAACCAATTCTAAATTGCCCTAAGTGAATTATTTTATCCTTGCCAGGGGTATTTGGAGAGGCAGTGTCCAAAGTCAGATTTTTGTTCGTAAAAACAGTCAAGTAATTACGATCTCTATTGACCTATTCACAAGTGGCAAGAATTTGATTCGAATCTTAACAGATGAACTTGGTGAGGATGCTAGCAAATACATCCTTTTGTTTGGAACTAAAAAGGTATATAGCTAATAAACATTAGTGCATGATTTAAATCTGTGCTTTCAAAAGCCATTTCGGGATTGCAATCTTTAAACATAACGGAAGGTATGAATTCGAAATAAGTTCTATCTTCTGTTTATGCTAAGGTGTATACCCACGTTAATCCAATTTTGTTATTGCCATTCGTATCCTGTTGCGGCGAGCATAACGAGGTGGCAATATGTAACCTCTTCTATTTTCGTAAGGCGAGAAAATTTTCTCTGTGAATTGAAAATGCACTTCCAACTGTGTTTTGGGTTTGAGTAATTTTTGCCTTTACCTAAATTCAGTTTTTTGTTTTCTAGTTTCTGAAGTGTGTTTACACTAGGCCTATATATTAGTTTAATTTAGCCGGATTTTACTCGCATGGGAATCCTTTCAATGATTGTTCCTTCCCCAAAATTCCAGTAGAGTTTAAAATTGTCGTTAACGTAATTTATAGGCTTAATAATTTTGTTGGGAATTGATTTTTCGCCGTAAAACGCTTATTCACTTCTAGTTTTAGGTATTTTTATTTCAAAACAGATTTAGTAACATTTTGTTTTGTGCTGTGCATGAAAACTCTTTGTTCCAATCGGCTTTAAATACTCCCCTGTACAAAACATCAGCGAGAATTTATTGAAAAATAAGCAGAATTAAGAAGAAAAAATGCTTTAAAAAAAAATATACATATATATATATATAAGTAGTATACAGAAGGGGGGTTCTGGAGCAGGCGGTGCAGGCGGTGCACGATGCACCGCCGATGACGTCGTCGAATCTTAAATATTTTAATTTATTCAGGTAATTTTAATATAGTTGAGCACTTGAGCTTTGCCGGTTTGTTACTCAGCAATTTCGGTTTATTTTCATGCGATTTCGCTACCGTTTATTTATCTACATCGTTCGGTAGTGTCTGGGTACTTCATTACCGTTAGCTGTGTACAATTTTAGTTTATTTCACACAGTATATTGCTGATATGGTTACCGTTCATATATCTGTAGAGATTTTAAATTGCTGTCGTCTTTGTTTACAAAAGGTAATTTGTGAGCGCTACGGTGTGCGCTACTCCCACGCTATCTACAATCCATAGTTTATATAATTATGTCTATTTCGATACCGTTTGTTTACAGGTTTAGCTTATTTCAGTGTAGTCTTTGTTGCTGTTTGTTTATCTACAATTTCTAGTTTATATTATTGGGTTACTGGCGGTTTCATTTATTATGAAATAAGCTAAAGCTTTACTTCTTTCACTAGATATCTATCTAAATATCTATAATAATAGATATTTGATTTTAATTAGTATTTTATATTATGAGTGAAAATGCAAATTGTACCATAGAACAGACAAGAACGAACACGTTCGAGCACGTTCAATAAATAGTTGTTAGTGCGCATGCGTGATACCTATTTCATTAAATCTTCTCCCACAGTCAAACGGTGAAGGTTTTGTGTATATATACGGCGTTTTGATCGAAATTCGAAAACTTCATACGTCCTGCAAATCAAACGTCGATTAGTTTTTGCGAGAAATATTAAAGACAACTTAGACAAGGTAAGATGCATTAACTAAAGTTCATATATTATAAAATACTAAGATTTAGTTCAATTATTATGAAAAGTACTAAGAAATCGCTTCCTAGTAGTTGCTGTGCCCTTGTTGGCTGCACCTATGAAGAAAGAATCTGAGGTGCCTTTGGGAAAGTCATGCAACGAACGGAGAAGTCGATTCCTAGTAGTTGCTGTGCCCTTGTTGGCTGTACCTATGAAGAAATATCTGAGGTACACCTTGGGAAAGTCATGCAACGAACGGAGAAGTCGATTCCTAGTAGTTGCTGTGCCCTTGTTGGCTGCACCTATGAAGAAATCTGAGGTGCCCCTTGGGAAAGTCATGCAACGAACGGTTTAGTTGGACTAAATAGTGCAAGGAAGCCGATTCCTAGTAGTTGCTGTGCCCTTGTTGGCTGCACCTATGAAGAAAGAATCTGAGGTGCCCTTTGGGAAAGTCATGCAACGAACGGGTTTAGTTGTAGTTCGAAGAAATCGCTTCTAAGTGTTGCTGTACCCCTGTCGGCTGCACCTATGAAGAAAGAATCTGAGGGGCCCCTTGGGAAAGTCATTCAACGAACTAGCGGTGGTTGTACAAATTTTATTCAGTACTTCTGCAACAATAAGATGCTAAAAGTTTTCTGTTTATATTTAGTAGTTTGATTAAAAGTTGCCAATTATCATCGTGAAGTTGAAATCCAAAGAGTTGCTGTATTGAGGGTAGGTGTTTACAATTTCAACTAGTTTGAGTCACTGGTTTGAGTTGTTTCCGCTAGGGAATGTCTAGCAACGAACTGGTGGTTGTAGTCAGTGAAGTTTATTTAGGGCTGTCTTACGACAAAGCCATTACTTGCGCATGCGTGATGTTTTAATTTTATTCTCCCACAATAAGATGCTAAAGGTTATGTGTTTATATTATGCTACAGGTGTTGACGTGTTGTGTTTATGTATCTATGGCTGCAGTTGCTAAATTGGAGAATTCAATGTTCTATTTGTAGAATGTCTTTTACATGCAAAACCTGCTCCAAGAACTTTACGCAGCTGAGAAGTTTAACTCGTCATGAACGGTCCGTGCATGGAGAGAAGAAGTTTGTCTGTGATCAATGCAGCGCATCCTTTACACGGAAAGATGATTTGAAGCGGCATAAGAAGCGGCACGAAGGAACAATCACACATATCTGCGAAAACTGTAGGAAAGAGTTTCACCGTCGTGATAATTTAGTGGGACATCAAGCTCAATGTCAAGGGAATCCTTTGAAAAGAGGGTGTGACGAAGACCGAGATGAAGACGATAGCAGTCCAGCTCCAAAGAAAATACGAGTTCAAGTTGAAGAAGGTGAGCCAAATAGTCAAGTTGAAGAAAACCCTTGCAGTTCCACTTCAGCTTTTGACGATTCCTTGAAGAAGATCGAGTTGAAACCGCGGAAAGACCAGAAACAGGACGTGTCCCACTTCTTACGTGGCAAGACCAAACCGATTTTGACCCACCTTTCCAACGAGTTGGTAAAGAAAAGGGGTATCAAATGGTTCATAAGCGTTAAAGTACGGTTCATCAAACCTAAACCCGACGGTGAAGATTTGACTACCGAACCCCACTTCCGTAGTCATTGTATGAAAACAGTAGCCCAACACGAACTCGATAATCAACTAGACGAAGCCAAGCAGAAAATCATCCAGTCATTGGTCATGTTTCAAAAAGAAGGAAGCGGTTGGATATTAGACGAGATCCTTCATCTTGACCTGAGCATCGCTCAGTATTCTCCAGTTAAAGGATCCAGTTATATCCCTCTACCCAGCAAGCTAAAGACTAAGAAAGCTATCATAAACGTGAAGAATTCTGATAACAAATGTTTCATGTGGTCTATCCTCGCCGCTCTACACCCAGTGAAACAGAATGCGGAAAGATTGCATCATTATCAACAGTTTCAAGATGAATTAGATTTGGCTGGTATTGAGTTTCCTGTTACTGTTGACAAGATTGAAAAATTTGAGCGTCAGAACAATATTTCTGTGAACGTGCTTGGCTTTGAGGATGTACTCTTTCCCATCTACATCACAAAGGAACACTTTGATACCCACGTAAACCTATTACTATACTCCCAGGGAACAACTAGACATTACTGCCTCATCAAAGATCTGAATAAATTACTCTACAGCCAAAACCGGAAAAAGGCTCGTATGTATTACTGTCGTTACTGTCTTCATGGATTTATCCGAGACGATCTCCTCCAAGAACACGAACCCCATTGCTCTCAACACGGTCCACAACGTATTGAACTCCCGAATGAAGATAATGCTCAACTGTCCTTTAAAGACTACCACAAGCAGTTGAAAGTGCCCTTTGCAATCTACGCCGACTTCGAAAGTTTACCACCAAGATCAACTTAGTTAAACAAAATCCTGAAAAATCCTTCACTGAAAAATACCAACACCACCAACCTTGTGGATTTTCCTACATTGTTGTATCCGACCATGCGAAGTACTCCAAACCACCCGTTGTGTATCGCGGAGAAGATGCAGTCGACAAATTTTTAAAGTGTTTAGAAGAAGAGCAGAAATATATTCAAGAGAAACTGGATTGGGTCGAACCCATGCGAATTGAGAGAGAAGAAGAGCAAGCGTTTCAAGATGCAGTCCATTGTCATATTTGTGGATATGAATTGGGTTCTGATCGTGTTCGCGACCACTGTCATCTTTCAGGAAAGTACCGTGGGGCTGCACACAACGATTGCAATTTGAACTATAGTTTTACCGGCCGAATTCCTGTTATTCTTCACAATCTACGTGGGTATGATTCTCATCTCATCATGCAAGGACTCGGTAAACTCAAAGAGAAGAAGATCAACTGCATTCCAAACAACACCGAAAAGTACATCTCCTTCTCCATCGATAATTTGGATTATATCGACTCCCTACAATTCATGAATGCATCGTTGGAGAAGTTAGTATCCAATCTAGCAAAGGACGGCGTTGAAAAGTTCCCCATTCTCAAGAAATACATCGACAGCGACAAAATATCCCTTCTGCTAAGAAAAGGTGTCTACCCCTACGACTACATGGACTGCATAGAGAGATTTGAAGAACCAATCTTACCACCGAAGGAATCCTTCTACAATGTGTTGAACGACGAACATATTTCAGACGAAGATTACGCACACGCGACGAATGTATTTAACAAGTTTTCCTGTCGGAACATGGGTGATTACCATGATTTGTACTTGACGTCGGACGTTCTTCTCCTTGCGGATGTGTTTGAAAATTTTCGAAGCGTATGCCTCAAAGCCTACAACTTGGATCCCTGCCACTTCTATACAAGTCCTGGTCTAGCCTGGCAAGCGTGTTTGAAAATGACTGAAGTCGAACTCGAGCTGCTGACCGATCCAGACATGTATCTATTCATCGAAGAAGGTCTTCGCGGTGGAATTTCAATGATTAGCAACCGTTATGGTAA